CCTATAAATCACCTATAAATCACCTATAAATCACCATAAATCACCATAAATCACCATAGATGGGTGGTATAAACATGTATAAACCATCAAACTATGGATGGTTTATTATTGTTTTGCCAACATTCATCCGTATAATCCCATCCTTGTAATAAACACCATGGAACCATGGTCCCAGTGTGGAAATTCCATGAGTTTCCCGACATCCACCATGGTTTCCAGTCACATTCCGTCCCGGGACCTGAGAAACCTCAGTTGGAAGCAGTTCCCCTCCTCTCCGAGCTGTCCGTTCTCTTTGTGGCGATGTACAGGAAGCGAAAAGTGAATCGCAAGATTGGATGAGCTTGATGAGTTTCATGCAGCCATGATGAGAAAAAAAAACATACTACACCTGTGGTAAAGTCATAAAGTCAAAACCGCCGTATTCTGCAATGGCCCTGTCCCATGTGTTACTTGAGTTCCTTCGATTCGAAGATCCATCCTGGTAGGATTTCTTTTACTTATATATATATATATATACATGCAGTATATATATATATATATCTATAATATAAAGGTGCTGGGAAGTCGTCATACCTAGTAGGGCTGGAATTTCCGAAGCACTTGTATCACTGAAGGTTTGAATCAACTGGCCAGTTCTAATCCGCCAGATCATGGTGCCATGGTGCGCTGTATGAAGCTCTGAGTTGTGACTTGCCTCCGGCATTCCGCCTGGTGCTGAAGCACAGAAGCTGTAGCACGTCGGAGACGTCGGAAGCACGCCGCGCACGCCAGGGCCGCCAGGGCGAGGCCCTGCTATTGTGCCATCATGTGCCATCCGTACTGCAGGTGGATGCAGCATGAACATCATAGAACATCCTGTCATGGACACCCAATTTCACCTTGGGATTTCATGATTTTCAACTTGAACTGGCCATAACTGGCCATAACTGGCGTGTTTTTTGTTGCTGTTGGGTGCTGACGTTAGCGTTCCAGTCAGACGGCTGCCCGGTCACGGCGTGCGTGAATTCGGTCTCGAGATGCGCAGCGAGGGAAGCGGTGAAGCGACCCGTGGCTCCCGAATTGGGAGAGGTGTTTGGCGCGTCCCGAACGACCAGCATGCGGCCAGAACATGCCAGAACCTGATGAAATTTGCGCCAAGCTGACGGGAGATGGTGAGGAAGCCACGTTGCAGAACCAGTGCATCAAATGTCATGAGAAGCAAGAATGTGAGAGGAGTTTTTTTTTGGCCACTGCAAGTTTAATAAGTTCAATACAATGCATCAGGAATTCAAGAGAGATGATTATGAGTCCTGCAGTAGTTTTTTTTTCTTTTTGGCGAAACACACTGACAGTGGCAGTACGTTTATATACATTCATGCATTTTATATCCATTCTCCCCTATCATTCTTTGCAATTTGCCGTGCTGATTCTGCTGCTCAGCACCTTGGCCCTTCCAGCTACAATTGCAATGGCAATCCATACGCAGGTCGACAGACACGGAAGAGTCACAAAGAACGTGGCTTCTCTCAGTTGAACCATTCATAGAATTGGATGGTGGGAAAATTTACAGGAAAGCCCTATATTTGATGGTAAAAACCCGTGGGTTTCCTGTAAATTTTCCCTTAAACCAATCCAGTGAACCATGGAAAGAAACTTCATGAAACTTCCATGAGTTGTTTTTCTAGAGTAGTACTCTCAGTCAGGGAGTATTTAGGCGTAAGAGTGAGCGCCCCCAGCTTTTGACACCAGCACAACCACCACACTCAACATGCGCTTCGGGCAGCTTGTGTGGCTTGCCATGTGGCTGACGAGGAGGCCAAGTGGACCTATTTGAGTTCTTGACCTGGCTTCGAGAAGCACAATCACAAGCATGAAACTTTAGGGGGCAGAAAGGAGGGAAAAGTGGATATATTTGGTGTATCATTGAATCATAGACATCCGCATGCCCGCTTCATTTGGCTCATGCTACTGGACACTGCTTCCCTGCCATCCCTTGATGGAAGCCGAGTGAAGATCCTTCCGTTGCCTGTCTCATCTATCTGTCTCCTGCCGCGCTGGTGATCTTTCACCCCAGTGGCAGGTCATCATGACCACAGCGTCCAGGCTGGTGAGGCAAGTGTTGAACTGTTTTCTTCCCAGGGGGTTGATGATTGTTATTGGATCATCATCATCATCATCATCATCATCAACGCCAATGCCTATTGTTATCTATGATTATCAGCACAAGAGGATTCATCAGTACCTCCATCAGTATCATCATGTATACCGTGTACCTATCACCTTTCCTTCACTTACCTTCAGCATCATCCATTTGGAGCTCGGCATGCAGCTGCATATCTCAAAACAACAGGATCGCTAGCCACGCACCAGTCGGACTGGCGACACGCCACCAGCAACGAAAATCACAACTTGGCTTTTGCCACAGCTCAAAACATCTTTTCAGCTTCAAAAGTAATAGTTTTGGCCACGCCAAATAGACTTGTCATTGAAATGATGACCACACAAAGCCAACATTTCCACCAGCGACCAGCCCACAATGCGGCCGGGTGCCTTCGTATTGCTGCTGCGGCCCACGGATGGTGAGGACTTTGAGGCCGACGGGGACAGGTGGTTTTTTGGTGGGTTGGAACTGGGGCCTGGGATGGAGGTTGGGCATTTTTTGAGGGTTTCCCCAATGAAAATGGCCCATTTAGTTCGTTGATTTACCTATTAAAGACGGTGATTTTCAATAGCTATGTTAGTTTACCAGAGGATAAGGTCTGGCATTTTCTGCGAACTGTTTTTTTCAATGTTTTTTGTTTCACATGTTCTGAGGTGTCAGCCGCATCGGATGTGAACATGACTTGATAAGCACAAATCCAGCATCAAAGCCTCAAGATGCCTCAAGATGCCTCAAGGATCTTAGAACCAATTTGGCCCCCCGCTGACCCCTGGTGAATCGGCTTCAAGGTGTTGCTGCAGTACCGCGCCAAGCACCTCTCAGATGCTCGGAAATTTTGAGAAACACACCATCTCCGGTGCAAATTCACCAGCAACTCGTCACCATGTGATACTGTAAATCAGGTTGTGCCCACATTATATATATATATATCATATCATATCATATCATATCATATCATATCATATCATATCATATCATTATATACCCTTCAAAGTCAGCAACTTTTCCAGATGATTTCCAGATTTTCACTTCAAAGCCAGCAAGTTTTCCAGATGTTTTCCAGATTTTCAGATATTTTGGGCCTTTTTTTGGTGGAATTTCCGTTCTCCCACCTTCACGGTAGACGCCCTGCTAAGAACCCGCAGACCTGGGGCTTAGTGGGCGGCCAGCTGGAGCACGATGAGGTACGGGCCGTCTTTTTGAGATCTCCAAAGATGCAAAACTCATGGTTCAAATAGATATACAGGCTGAGGTAGAAATACAGCTTATGTATCACACAGATTGATTATAGACATAGATATATAGATAAATAGATGCTAAATCAATGGATGCATATAGATATAACTATAACTACTAATAAATTGATACATAGATCATCAACGGACATTTTCTGATCAACGGATGCTGTTTTCATCGCTTTCATCGCCAGTGGTGGATCTACGACTCGCAGCGCGTGAGCGAGGACCTGCGCCAGCGGGTGCTGCGGCGCGCGGCATTGCGTTTCTCCGACGGGGAAAGTCCCAGAATTTCCGGGAATTTCACGGGGCTAAGAGATGTTGAGAGGGTGGTACTTTGAGATTTTTACTAGGACTGTTCATCTGGTTGGTGGTTTGGAACATGAATTTTATGACTTTCCATATGTTGGGAATAATAACCCCAGCTGACTAATATTTTTCAGAGGGGTAGGTATACCACCAACCAGTCATTCTTAGGTTATTTAGATATTATTTGATATTATACTGGTTAGCATGGGTGGTTTTGGCACAATGAAGGTGAGTATTTGGTGGGAAAATCGGTCAAAGTACCTTGTATGGAGCCATAATGAGTCTATCTGACAGCAATCGAATGAACAGATGAACATTATGAGCCAAGAATTTATGCCTGAAATGTGAACCTGGAGGACTGGAGAACTACCCTCTGGTAATGACATTCACAGTTTGCGACATAGAAGCCATGGCCATAGAAAGTTCGTGGATTTTCCCATTAAACATGGTGATTTTCCATAGTTATGTAAACGTTTACCAGAGGGTACGTATAGGAGTTGGTATTTAGACAGTTCCAATCCTATAGTCCTCCTCCTTTTGTCTTTTTGGGTTCGGTAAAAAGTGGGAATGCAAGCAACCATCGGAAGTTTACCCTGCAAATGAACTGAACCAACATATTATGTCATAAATAAGCAATTAGTAAATAATAAATAAACAACCACACACACACATATACATATACACATAACTTATAAGACACACATATATATGTATATATATATATATGTACTATCTATATATCTATGTATATATATATAGTGTATCATATATGAGTTTCGATTCTGTGAAGCAACTTTCTCACAATTTCTCCATAACATTTGAGGTGAGGCGCTCGAAGAGATGGGCGGAGTGTGGGCGAGCCGAGATGGGGAGATGGGGAGATGGGGCGCCCGGCGAATCAGGAGGATCTGAGGTAACAATCTTTCACTGAAGATGGATTTTATATGGATTTTATATGGATTGGTAGATGATTTTATATGATTTTAAATGGATTTGTAGATAATTTTCCCCACTTGGTGGATTTTTGAAGGGATCTGTTAGATGTTTTTTCCTACTTCTTACTTTGGAGGTGGTGCTTGTTGATCCTGGGGCCCAGTTGAGACGTTACGCTCTTTTGGCAGAGCAGATGGAGTCATGTCTTTTAAACTCAGCAGTTTGCATCCACAGATGCCGGCCATACTTGTTGGGGCCAGTGCAGGCCAAACTTGGTTGTTTCCATTATCGCATTACATTGTTTGATATTCACTCTTTGTTTCATCACGTTTCACCCCTTAAAACTGGGATTTGCTACACTCACAGATAAATCATGATAAATCCAGTACGGGTTACATAAATCATGATAAATCCAGATTTATCATCATTTGTTTGCTACACCACTGGGATAAATCATGATAAATCACCATCCTCCAGTGGTTGCTCATCATTTTCCCCCATGTCTTCATAGGCCATATCTGGGGACATCGAGGCCCGAAGGCTCCAAGATGCCGTACACGCCCATCATCTTCGAGCCGCTGTGCGTGCAGGTGGCCGCCGATGGCCAGGTGCCCACCCATGCTGCGGAACATGGGAGAAGAAACACCATGTTTTCTGGGGGGTTGAATGGTTGCATGGTGGAAAAAAGACACATTCTATCACATTCTTCATGGATCTTCATGGATCTTCATGGTTCTTTTTACTATAGTTACTATAGTTTTTTTTTTAAACTGATTTTCTATAGTTTATGGTTGATTTATGGTTTTCATCATGGGTTTCATCGTAAAAAAACACATAAAAATATCCCATAGATAAATCAGAAAAAAACCATAGATAAACTATAGAAAACCATCATTTATACCCACTGGTGAACTAACATAGCAATGGAAAATGGCCATAGAAATAGTGGATTTTCCCATGAAAAATGGTGGATCTTTCCATTGCTATGTAAACGTTTACCAGGCCGGGTAGTTTATCAAATCCCTAATCTCGATGGCCTAGCCTCACCGCAAGGCGATGCGGCTGCCGCGCCAGGAGAGGCGCTGGCCGGTGCCCGCGGGGCTCAGCTTTTTGGAGAACGATCCGCATCGCTCCAAGCAGCTGAGGGTGGCCGCTGGGATATGGCAAGTCTCTAGGGGATTTCATGGGATTTCATGGGGTTTAATGGGATTTAACTATGGATAGGGATTGGACTTGATGATTTAAATGGGCTTTTTGTTGGGATTTAACCATTGAAAGATAGGGATTGGATTGATGTTAGTTGGATAAATCGTGTGATTAAACCATTGGGATTGAACACCGGATATGAATGGGGATGTGATATTATGGATATTTTTGACCTACAATCAGAAATTGGATGAAATTGAATATGCCCATGCTGCGCAGCTCTGGGTGCTAATTTCAGAGAGTCGGAAGCAGTTCAAGAAGCATAAGTGGGGATTGATTTCTGTTGATCTTAAAATTTATGCTACGACTCTAAGACCATAGAAGTGACAGCCAGTGATGTTTTCAAGCAGCATCTGAATCTCCCAGTAATCTCCCTAGTTGACCCTGCAGCCAAGTTGACATCGACCTGGAAGGGTTGCCGTGTCAGCAGGGGTCTCTGGCAACCACGGATGCGTTCAGGAAAACAGCCACACCTATGTCTTTGTCTACCTGACTCTTGGGCATTGTAACCTGTGGAGAGCACGTGGGACGTGGCACTTGGAATGTTGAAATTGAATAAGAAACGGGCGACTTACTTGGGATGTACTCACTCAGTGAATCACTGAATTGAAGCCAACTCATTTTAGCCAAACTCAACCTTTTGCTAACGCGTCTGATGCCTGGCAGCATGACATGCAAGCGGAAATTGACTTTTGCATGATTGATCTCTCTCTCTCTCTCTCTCAGACGGCTCAAGAGATAAAGGTAGCAGAAGTTCACAGAAGTTCTAAGACCTTGACAAACATGATCCCAGTGAGAGCCTATAGAAGCTGCGATCTCATCCATTGGTACGGGTCAGGTTCAACGACAGCCATCGCGCCATCATGGCCATTGGCCAGGTGCCAAAACCCATTGGCCTTCAGACCCCACGAAGAAACTACCCGGCCTGGTAAACTTTTACATAGCTATGGACAATCACCATTTTCAATGGGTAAATCCACTATTTCTATGGCCATTTTCTATGTCGCAAACTGTGAATGTCATTACCAGAGGGTTTTTCAGAAACTCAAATCTTCAGGAACTTCCCCAACTTACCCTTTAGTAAACTAACATAGCTATTGAAAATGGCCATGAATAGTGAGTTTTCCCATTAAACATGGTGATTTTCCAGTTCGCTATGTTAGTCATAACCAGAGGGTACCCCATCCCAGCCCAGATCACCTCCGCAGCTTCCCAGCTCCCCAGCTTCGCCGCGTCGCCTCGTTGATGCCGCGGAAGACGGAGCCCAAGCCGCGGAGGGGCGCTCTGCGCAGCGCGCTCAGCGCGCGCAGCGCGGAGCTGCGGATGGTCCACCTGCAGAGACCCTGCGGCGACGGGCCGCGGACGCTGCTGACCTTGGACCCGGATCTCTTGAGGACCAAGGACGATCGAAGTGGCCTGGAAAAGATGTTGGGGTGGTTGGAGGTTGGTTGGGGGATAGGTAGGTAGGTAGATAGGTAGGTAGATAGATGTAGATAGATGTAGATAGATGTAGATAGGTAGGTAGGTAGATAGGTAGATAGGTAGATGGAGATCATGTTTTTATTTTTTATTTATTTTTGGTAGTTTGGAGCTTGCCGTTTTGGGATTTACCACGTCAAGTGTCTTTGAAGGTATCCTTGATTGAAGAGGAGACAACAAGAGATAGAGTCTGATAAGGGGGAATATTTTGTTGGAGGCAGTTGTCATGCACCAACAGCAGTGTTTCCAGACAACAGTTTATGGGCGCTTTTCAGATAGGGAAACCGTTCGAACTTTGGGGACGAGTTTCTTTGATATTATTCGGACATTGTGAGCATATCTGATGGCACATCGATACACTTTTCAGGGAAGCCGCCAAGAAGCCGTGACCCCAGCAGTTGGCCCAGCAGGTTTCGTGGAGATTGTGAAAGAAGAGGTGAGATCAAGGATCGACTGGATGGAGTTAGGTCACGGCTCTGGGATGGTTGAAGTGTTGTCCTCAGTGATAGTCGCTTGTGTTTTTTTCTCTCCTCCCACTCAATAAATCTTGCGGCAACCGACCTTGGAAGTGGGAACTTCAAGATCAGTATAGTAGTAGATCGGCAAGTGTTCAACTATTTCAATACCTATTTCAACTGTATTTCCCCTAAATATGGCTATAAATTTCCACAAAAAAATCCCATCTACTTATCTCATCGATTTCCAGATATTTCCCATGGATTTTCCCATGGATTTCCAGATTTTCCATGGATTTCCCATGGATTTTCCGAAAATTCCGCCAGGATGGGAATTCCCAACCTACGGCAGAAGCTCTTCTTGTCCAACGAGGCGCTGCCGCTGCATGCCTCTTGGGCCGAGCCTTGGATACGGCGAAGATGAAGAAATCCTCGGAAGATAACATAACATATATTTATATTTATTAATTAGTGGTTAATGATGGTTAAACTAGCATAATCAGTGGAAGATAGTGGTCAATTTCAAGCTTTTCGATCCTTTTTTTTTAAAAAAAAATCTGGGGTGCTAAACAAATTAAGTCGTGGCCATGGCAGGGCCCAGGGCCATCCCAAATCTCCATGTCCCAAAACAGGGAACTGTGGGTACTCGTAGGAGGTTGGAAGACTACGACTACTTTTATAATAGTTAATGAATGTTAATGATTAAATATGATTCATATAATTTCGTACATCATCTTTGACATGTTATCTTGTATATCTCTATGTACGTATATAGATGTACACGCACACATATATATATATATTATTTAATTCATTAATTGATTAATAAACCCATTAATTAATTAATTGATTAATTAATGTATTTATATAATATGTAGAAAGTACATAGGTACATCTCTACACATGACTCGGGTCTCATTTCCATTTGGGCCTTTTTTGAACCAGCGTAAATCTCCTGAGCTGCAGAGCCTAAGGACCTGGGAAAGCCCCGGGAGATTGAGCTGCACATCATGGATTACGTGCGCCACAGCTGTTGACTTCGGGGAATACTGGAGGGTTTCGGTTTCATGGGTTGATCGATTCTATCACTGGTGGTGACTGGAAGTTTGGAACATCTTTTTATGACTTCCCAAAAAATGTTGGGAATTTCAGAATCCCAACATAATCCCAACATATCCCGAACTCATAATAGATAATAATATGATAATATGATCATAATACCATGATCATTAAAACCATGGATAGATTCTATCAGATACATGATCTTCGACCCGGTGATCTGCACGAGATGTGACAGGTGGACTCCCACGGGGCTGCGCTGCGACAAATGGCCGAAGCGGGAAAGATCCAGCAGGTGCTGAAAACCATTGCCACCAGGATCATATCCCCACTTACCCTCTGGTAAACTAACAGTTTGCTGTTGAACATCACCATTTTGAGTGGGTAAATCCACAAACTAAATGAGCATTTTCAATAGCTATGTTGAATTACCAGAGGGTAACCCCCCCATGTTCTAATACTTTCCATCTGAAAACCACCATTTACAGGGCCATATTTTCAGGGTGCGCTAAGAATGTTGGGCTAGCGGAGTTAGTAAGTTGGCTACGTGCCGATGTGGTGTGTTTCAAGATATTCAAATTGATGTTTAACAATCCGGTAACCCCCAAAACCCTGTGCTTACTGTTGTAAGTTGTAAGTCAAACATTTTTGGGCTTCACTAATTTAAATATTGCTTGGTGGTTTGGAACATGAATTTTATTTCCCCCAGCCAGATTGGGGATGATGATCCAATCTGACGAACTCATATTTTTCAGAGGGGTAGGCTCAACCACCAACCAGAATAGCATGAAATGAAGCCTCGTACCCAGCTGACTGAGCAAAAAAAAGTCGATCAATGTTTCTGCGACTTTTTTTTTGGGATAGCATATCATTATTATAAAATGGTGGCTGGCTCTTCCATGTCCAGAACAACACCTATCTCTCTCACTTTCAAGTTGCGGATGAGTTGGCCTTACTCAGAGTTTGGATACGTCCTGGACGTGAGCATGCCTCCTGTGGCAATTCCCAGTTTCTTGAACTCTCTCCAAAATATCCAGGAAATCCACAGACATGCAGTAGGGCACTTTTTTTTGTTCACGAAGTGATTGGAGTACAGTACTTTGCCACCGCTACTTTCCTAGTCGCCTCCATTCACCTCCTAGTTAGATAGGTTGAGGTCCAAAATGGTTCATATATATATATATTCCCATATATTCAAAATAGGTTGAGGTTAAAAATGACCCATACATACATACATACATACAGACAGACAGACAGACAGACAGACATACAGACATACAGACATACATACAGACATACAGACATACAGACATACAGACATACAGACATACAGACATACAGACATACAGACATACAGACATACAGACATACAGACATACAGACATACAGACACATACACACACATACACATACATACACATACATACACATACATACACATACATACACACACATACACACATACACACATACACACACACATACACACACATACACATACACACATACACACACATACACACATACACACATACACATACACACACACACATACATAATATATATATATATGTATATTCATTCACTCACAGCATCTGATTTTCACACCGAGTCCAAATTCCTTTGTCTCCGGACCACTTTCTGCGAGGCGGAAGCTTGTCTCATGTTGCCCCAGGCCCGGGTTACGGTGCACCAAGATTGGCAACTGGCAACGATGGGTTCCTGCGGATTTTTCCCATCCAGTGATACCAAGAAAAATGTCACCCAAGAATCATCATTCAAACATTAGGAAAACCATAGGAAAATGGTGATGTAACCATTATAAATGGTGATTTGATTGTATCCATATGTCAAGATTCAACCATCCTAATCAGTACATCAAGACCCATCTACATTAAATTAGGGGGTATCACGCAAGAATCATCATTCAATATTCAATCACATATGAACTATATGTATGCATGTGTCAACATTCAACCATTCAATGGATTGGTTTAAGGGAAACATTTCCCGAAAACCCCATATTTAGTGGGAACATCTATAATCTATGGTTTCCGGTCAAGATTTTCCCTTAAACCAATCCATTGAGCTATACAACCAGTTATTATTAACTATCATCAACTATCATCAACTATCATCATGAATATCAATATCTGTAATGAATAGCCATTTTTCATATAGATATTGATATTCATGATGATAGTATGATATTGATATTCATGATGATAGTTGATATTACAGATATTTAGTATTAATTATATATTGATGATAGTAGTATTGATACCCCTCTGTAATATAGTATGTTAAACTACCAGAGGGGCACCCAAGAATCATCCCAACAAACCCACCGCGAGCTTCGCAAGGAGCCTAACTCCATGGACCGCGCGGGGGAGACGGCTGCCTTGAAAGCCTGTCGACGAGGTGCAGCATGAGCTGACGACCGTGGAGTGTCTTTGGGGGATATGGGGGATTTAGATGGGGAAAAGATGGAAGTTAGATGATTACTGAGAAATTTGGGGTGAAAGTGGGGAACAAATGGAAGGCACTTGAATGGTTTTAAAGGGAAAGAACCACGCGCACACATGGGGAGAAGGTGAGGGCACATATTGTTTTTTGGGATGTGAGATTCTGATGGCGTGCTCACCATGGACTTACAAAATTAGGGGGTTTCCCAATTTTTCGGGCTACCCCTAGTTACCATTTTTAAGATGGGGATCCCTATTGGATACCACAATAATTGGATCCCAGCAATTGGAAAAAAAATCCAGCTATTGGGTATCCCCATGACTATGGAACCCCCCAAAGTCAGGCCATATGGAAATGATGCAGCTGCTTTGCTACGCAGATGCTGTCGCTTGGTGAAAAATCGTAAGAGCCGCTGGGTTGATTTTTGCCATGTGGAGGACGTCTCCAACAGAAAAACAGATTTTAGTGGGTTATCCTCTGGTAAACGTGCCACAGGACATGAACTTGTCCAACAACCAGGGGGAAACGCCTTTGATGCTGGCGGCACAGCATGGTCACCAGGCGATTTCTGGCATGGCCGTGCCAGGGGTTTACCATTTGGAATAGCTGGTATAGAAGTGGTTTCAAACATACCATTGAAACATACTATAGTGGTTTAGAATGGTATAGAAAATCTAGCTATTGAGATTTTGTCATTTTTTAAACATACTATGATTTGTAATTGTGGTGATTGATCTTAAATTCTTATAGCAGGTTGTTTCAAACATCACTAAAATACTAGGTGGTGTATGATTGAATAGCTGTTTGAAACCACCTACCAGACTTTAAAGTTGGTTTTCATAAAACTATAACATACTACAATTTCATGCAGGTGGTACCATTCGAACATACTAACTGTAGTTTTATAAAATCCATTTAGGTCCTTATAGTCGCGGACAGGTTATAAGCAGATTTTCATCTGCTTATCACACCCCCAAAACCCTCAAAAACGCTCAAATAAGGATCTGCTAGAATGGGGTACCCTTAAATCAGACCTGTAATAAGCAGATTCCCATTATGTGGGAATTGGTGAAATCGGGAATCTGCTTATTGCAGCTGCTTGCACAATTCAAATTCGACTAAAGGTAACACGAAATATGGGAATGGTGTGCGTATTTTTGTCCTTGAGAAATATCATGAAAATGCATGACTGCAGAAAAAGACAAGTAGAAATAGAAAGGCAGAGAAGTAGAAAAGCAGCGAAGCAGGAAGAAAAAGGAAAAAAACAGGGAAGCAGAACAGAGAGAAGCAAGAAAAGCAGAGAAGCAGAAAAGCAGGAAAAAAACAAAATAGCGGAAAAGCAGGAAAAGCATACAAGCAGAGAACAAAAGAGCAAACACGCAGAAAAGCAGAGAAGTAGAAAAGCAGAGAAGCAGGAGCAGAAGAAATTCAAGAATCCAAAGAAAATACCTGAACCTGCTCAAAAGAAACCTAAAATCAATAGCCCTCCATAAGAAAGGACTGCGACAAAAGCACAGGCCCAAAATCAAGCCCCAAATCGCACATTTATTTTTGAAAGGCATTCTGAGAGAAATTGCTAGAAAATCACAAAACACCAGCCCGAGGAACCTACAAATGCCTGAAAGCAAGCATTGTTCTCTGCTGCACAAACTGTAATAAGCAGATTTGGAAATCTGCTTATTGCAGCTGCTTGAAAGTTGAGACTTCTTTGGGCAACAAACTCAAAATAGCCGGGCCACAGCCCAGAAATTGAATCAGACTAGAATATACCAGAATAATTTGTTTAAACAGTCTCAATCAATCACAGCACAGTATAGAAGGGCTGCCGTTTCTAGGAGCCCAAGGCAGTGTCAAAAGCGTTCGTTTGTAAAGCAGTCTTAAGGGAGTTTTGGAATGAGAAAGGGTTGTGACAGAAGGACGGGTGACAGAAGGACGGGCCCAAAATCAAGCCCCAAATGTATGTTTAAACGGCATTCCGAGAGAAATTGCCGGAAAAAAACACAAAAAAACCAGCCCGAGGTAACCTACACATGCCTGAAAGCATGCACTATAGTTGATCTCCACTACACCTTGGCTGTAGTAAGCAGATTTGGAGATCCGCTTCTTACAGCCGCTTGAAAATTGGGACTTCGTTTGGTGGGGCAACAAATTCAAGAAATAGCCGGGCCACAGCCTAGAAACTGAATTAGACTATAATAGAATGGTGTGTTTAATCAGTCCTCATCAATCGTCACAGCACAGTATAGAAGGGCTGCCGTTTCTAGGAGTCCAAGGCAGTGTCAAAAGCGTTCATTTGTAAAGCAGTCTCAAGGGAGTGTTGGAACAAGAAAGGGTTGCGACAAAAGCACGGACCCAAAATCAAGCCGCAAATGTATGTTTGAAAGGCATTCTGAAAGAAATTGCCGGAAAAAACACAAAACACCAGTCCCAGGAACCTACAAATGCATGAAAGCATGCATTATAGTTGATCTCCACTACACCTTAAACTACGCTGACTGTAGAAAGCAGATTTGGAAATCTGCTTATTACAGCTGCTTGAAAGTTGGGACTTCCTGGGGCAACAAATTCAAGAAATAGCCGGGCCACAGCCTAGAAACTGAAGCAGACTAGAATAATGTGTTTAACAGCGGAAGGGCTGCCGTTTCTAGGAGTCCAAGGCAGTGTCAAAAGCGTTCGTTTGTAAAGCAGTCTTAAGGGAGTTTTGGAATGAGAAAGGGTTGTGACAAAAGGACGGGCCCAAAATCAAGCCCCAAATGTATGTTTAAACGGCATTCCGAGAGAAATTGCCGGAAAAAAACACAAAAAAACCAGCCCGAGGACACCTACATTTGCTTGAAAGCATGCATTATTATAGTTGGTTGATCTGCACTACGCCTTAAACTACCCTGACTGTAGTAAGCAGATGTGGAAATCTGCTTATTACAGTTGCTTGAAAATTGGGACTTCCTAGGGCACCAAATTCAAGAAATTGCCGGGCAGAAACTGAATCAGACTAGAATATACCAGAATAATTTGTTTAAGCAGTCTCAATCAATCGTCACAGCACAGTATAGAAGGGCTGCCGTTTCTAGGAGTCCAAGACAATGTCAAAAGCGTTGAATTGTAAAGAAGCTTTGAGGAATAATTGCAACAAGAAAGGGTCACCTGAAAACCAAGAGCCACAAGAAAGGGTCGCTGCAAGACCAAGAGCCACACATTGTTTCTTTACTCTGGGCTGGCAAATTTCTAGGCCCCTTTACATGATACCCACCAGAAACATATTGTACACTGAATGGAGTAGGTCCACTCAGACTGTAAGAAGCAACTCATTTTCATTGTATACGGGGCACCTGATCAATTTGCTCGTGTCGGGGAAATTGCATTTTGGTTTATTGCTGTAGGTTTGTACGCGTATACAGAATCAGAAGTTCGGTCACTGACGGAAAACAACTAAACTCTAGCTCTAGCAGCCTCCTTAGTAACAGGCATGATTGATGCATTCTATCGGTTTTCAGCCTCCTTAGAGTGTCCTTGATTGGTTTGTTTTTTCCTTGGATTTTCTTTTCCTTTGTTTCTCTCTTGGAAACCAAAGGAAAACAAATCAAACCAAAGGAAACCGAAGGAAACCAAAGGAAACCATAGAATCCACCTAGTCCCAAACCAAAGGAAACCGAAGGAAACCAAAGGAAATCAAAGGGAATCAAAGGATACCAAAGGAAAAATGATATAATCTAAGAAAACCTGATTTTAGCTATTTCCTTTGTGTTTGTTTTTCATTGCTTTCCACCCACAATTAAAAACCATAATATTTTGGTGCAACTCATGCGTTGGAAAGGTTGACACTGCTAGCTTTTGGTCCATACCTGGGTGGAAATGTGAAACACCTGTTACAGAAAACACACTTGTACTAATAGGGTAAGAAAAGAAAACAGAAGAAAACACACGAAAACAAGAGGTTTTCAAAGGAAAAGGCAGGATGATCAGAGGAGACCATCGCTATGATAAACTATACCGACCCAGTGTCTGGGGACAACAGTAATAAGCAGATTTTCATTTTACACATTTTTAGGGGTAATAAGCAGATAGATTACCGGCGAGTGAGGCAGTTGAGCAATCTGCTTGTCTGCCGGCAGGGGAGGAAATCTGCTTATTACCCGCCCGTGACTATATAGTTGGAGTTAATAGTAAGCCATAGGGTAAACCCTGAAAAAGATGGAAGTTAGCAACATCCTACCAGAATAGTGCTACCTAGTTTTTTCCCTCTAAATATATATATATATATTTTTGGGTTATTTCAAATATACCTAGTGTTTTTGAAACCATACTTGGAACGAACCGGGTGAGATGACGAGAATATTTTGGGGTTAAGTTGGCCCAAAATTTAACATCAGAGTTTAAACATCCCGGGACATTCAATGGTGGTAGATGTGGATACTTTCCATTTTTCAATGGAAATTTCAGGAACCGATTGATTGGAGGTACCTACCAATCGGTTCCTACCATATGTATCCATATGTAAGGCCTATTTTTCAGGCCTTTGTATACGGGGATATATCCCCAAAATATGGCCAAACATATGGTACAGTACCCCCATTTTAGGATCCTGGAATTCCCATTGAATTTTGGGGATTGTTTATATGCTCCATTTCTGGTCACGTTGGTGTTTTGGAAGACTTTTGTTTTGCAGGGTTCTGTCAACAGCCGGTGCGCCCCAAAAAAAACGGCACTTTTCACTTCCTGCAGGAGGATTTTGCCATGGGGGAGAATGATCACGGGAGTTAGAATTCATGTGGTAAACCTCACAAAAAAAAACAATCCCAGTATCCAACCCTGTGGGGGTCATTTTACACCATCCACTTTACATGGGGAATCACCTATTTAGAGATGATTATCCATGAAAAGTTTGGATGTTCCATTACCATGTGAAATTAATATAGGGGCATACCCAATTTTTTTTCCCAATGTATCCCAAAACCTCAAACAGCCAGGAGATCGTGGAGTTCCTCCTTGAAAACGATGTGGAGAAGGCCGGTGAAACACGATTGGGGGAAGGCCTTGCCATGGGGATCTTCGAATCAGAATGATTCTGGCCGGAAAATGTGTGTGATTATTCGAAATTGATCATGAGACATTGCTATTTCCATCTATTTCTTCAGTTTTCGTTCATGATCATCGTCGTCTCGTTGAATCTAAATGTAGATCGGGTCATCCCGGGCGCTGCCAGGACCCCAGCAATTGCTGGGGCGAAACGCCCGTTTTCAAAGCGGCAGAGAGGAATCACCATGAGACACTCAGCGAAGTCGCCCAAGTCGATGAAAACCATGAAAACCAATCCCCTTGGAGAATGATTTGAATGTGGCTTTCTGATGTTTTGACTGTGGTTCTCCTGTCCAATCCCATAGGATCCATATATGCTATATATATATATGGTAACATGGATCCCATCAATATACCCCATTTATGTTAGCATATATATCAGCACCATGGATCCGTCATGGGAATTGTCATGATTTTAGCAGACTCCCAGGGGTACCTTGGTGTTTTATCCCATGGTTTTCCGCAGAAAATGTTGGGATCCCAACAGAAGCCCACTGATCTGGGAGCTGAGGTTGATCACCAGATGGGTCTAACCTGCAGGGCACATAAATTAACAGTTTGCCATGGAAAGATCCACCATTTTTAATAGGTAAACCATAGGTAAACCATCTATTTCTATGGGCCATCTATACCATGGCGAACTGTTAGTCATAACCAGAGGGTCAATTCATGAATAATTTCTATACATTTCATGCAGACAGTTTTGGGGGTTTTCATGTTTGGCTTGCTGAGAGTCATGAATTCATGACCAACTTTGCCTCCAGGGGTTCTGCAGATTGCATCCCCCCAAGGATTCTAAGACTACTGCTCGAAGCAAAGGCTCGTAAGGACGGTGCGACAGCCCTTTACAGCACTTGATTCAGATTTTGGGATCGGATTTTAAGCCGATTTGGCAGGAGAAGCAGAACTTGGATGGCGCGACCCCCCTGAAGATCGCTGCAGCCAGAGGAAATGTTCAGAAACTTGGCAAAGAACCAGGCCTCGCGGCCTCCGCTTCTGGTGATTCCAATGGGCTCTCCAGGCCCCCCAAAAAATGCCAAAGATGCAGCAGTTTTGCACATCATAGATGTCCTTTTCCCATTTGTTGGTTGGTTAATAGAGGGGTTTGTTTACCCCTTTAACAGGTAAATGATGATAGATGGTATACCAGCTCCCGGCCCCTCTATTTTTACCAAAAGGACATTATACCGAGGTGCATCACTCTGCTGCTGCGTGTGGGTGCCAGCAAGAACAAGGCGCCGGCGTTACTGGCATCGCTACCGGCATACCCTGCAGGAAAACAAGGGTGTGCAGATCTTTCTCTGCAGCTTTCCTGTGGAAAGAGCAATCAACGTTGCGGTTGAATAATCCTAATGCAGGATTAATGCGCCGCCAGTTCATTCAGAGAGGGGTTAACATTTTTTTTTTAGCAATTCAACGAAATACATCACTATTGGTGGAACCACCATCTATAGTATATAACATTATATAACCCCAAAAAGATTAAAACAAGTGAATTATCACAATTTTAGTAGGATTTTCTTTTCAACTTTTGTTTTTATGGGGGAGATGACTAAAATGATACAACACAATTTATAATTTCAGGGTTGGCATTACACCACCACACGGCCAGGCCAGTAACGATGGTGCCACGCCGCTCTTTGTAGCCGCGCAGAATGGCCATAGGGCTTGCGTGTACTCTTTGTCTCCTGGCTTTGCTGAAGATGATGTGGTGAATCATCTATGATTCGATCATTTATCATCTATACTCAGTCCGCAAATCATAAGCGAATCATTTGTAGTATAATGCATTACAGATTACATCATCATCTATTGTCATTTGCTATCCTTCCTTTTTCATTCTTATGTTCATTATTTTTCGTTCTTAGATTTTTCATTAGTTTTCATTCATTTTCATTCTTATTATCATTTGTGGTACATTATCATCTATAATCATTTGCTATTTGCTATCATTCCTTTTTCATTCATTCTCATTATTATTTTCATTATTCAATTTATCTGGGTAAATTATAGCGACGTCACTGTTCTCCCTCACTGGATTAAAGGTTAGTAAGGGGAATCATCCCAAACTTGCCTTATTAATTTCAGGTTAGTGAATTATTCTAATTTACCAAGATCATTGGATAGTTAATCATAGTTGTATATACATATATTATATGTATGTATGTATGTATATGTTTTTTTTAGATGTTCTATAGATGGATAGTTAACTGGATTTATCTTCGTAGATAGTTCCTTTTTTCATCTTTTTTCTATAGAACACTATGCATCTATATGATTTATCTACATCTAAAATGTCAACCCTGGATTAATCCCCTAGATTGTTAAATTGGGGGGGTACCATTTAAGTATTGGATTGTGACTATTGGAGGAGTACCCCCCTAATTAATTGTGACTATTAATCCGGGGTTGACATTACTATTAGTAATCATGATTAAGATGGATTAACATGGATTAACATGGATTTATCTACATTATGATTTATCTACATCTATAGATGGATAGTTCCCTTTTTTCTTGGCCACTGGGTCACTCCGTCGGAGCGGGCTTTTCCGAACCAGGTTGCAGGCGGGCGCCGATCGCCACAAGGCCGGCATTTTTGGTGCTGTTTTTCTCCGTGAGAATCTGTGGATCATCACGAGTCGCGCCAAGAGTTGTTGGTTGGGTAAAATCATAGGAAAATATATGGGAAATCTTGGAAAATCATAGGAAAATATATGGGAAATCTTGGAAAATCATAGGAAAATATATGGGAAATCTTGGAAAACCATGCAGGATGGGGCCCCCTTCAGATAACGTTCAGTTGAGATATGGCTGTGGCTGAATGAGCTATGGTTTATGGATGTTTATGGTAGATATGGCGAACTAGTTTTCATGGGGGTTGTAAACCAACAACATGACTGGGGGGCACCATCCTGTAGTAAAGCCATGGTAAAGCAATCATCAGTAGTAGACCACCAATCGGTAGATGATCTGTAGATGATCATCATGAGCAGATGGCTTTGTTTGATTTAGGTGAAAAACACGTGGGATGCTAAATAATGATAATGACATATACCCTCTGGTTATTTAACATAGCCATGGAAAATGGTCCATTTATAGATGGTTTCCCTTTTAAAAATGGTGATTTTCCATGGCTATGTTAAATAACCAGAGGGTAATAGATATACAGCTACCTCCAATATGTTGAAATGCTTGGGATTGATAGCACCTGTACTGTTCTCAAGGAAAGAATAAACCACTCATATGGATTGATGCTTAACACCCCCCGTATGCGGTAAAATTGGGGATAGTTTACTATTGCTTTGCCAACATTAGATGGGTTTGTCTGACAATTTAGGGGAAACACATCCAAGTATAGTATTATTTCATATATTTCGCAATTCAACGCATGGCAAATTTGGAGGTATACCATATACTTTTTTCCATTTTCAGAAACACATCTATTGGCTAGGCAAATTCATCACAAGATACATGGGACCATCACTATTTCATACATCAATAGATCATCAATTTCCATAAGCATTCTACCATACATATTCCCAATCATCATTATATGAAGGTATCACACTCATCAACAATAGTCATAATATCCATCAATTCCCAGTCAATGATCATTATATCTCAATAATCATGAAATCCTAATAATCAGTATATCATAGTATATCCTAAGAAGCATTACAACCTAATCATCTTTCTATATCTATATCTATATATATATGTATATATTTGATAATTTTATAATCATCACTTAATCAATGATAGTCATTATATCGTCCTTATTCTCAATCAATCACCAGGATCATCATGATTTCCTCATAATCCACGACATGATGGACCGCCGCTGAAGGCCACCAACAATGGCCAGGCGCCCCTGTTTGCTGCGGTACAGGTGGGGTAGTGGGGAAAAGGGCGAAGGGCCGGTTGATAAAACATGGGACTTTTATGGGGATTACCCTCTGGTAAACTAACATAGCTATGGACAATCACCATTTTTAATGGAATAAATCATCTATAAATCTATAAATGGTCTATTTTCCATAGCTATGTTAGTTTACCAGAGGGTAATGGTGATTTTATTATCATTAATGGTGATTTTCTAGTGATTTAATGAGGCATTTGTCAGGATTGTATGGAATTTCATGGGAATTTATGGGGATACACTTCGGATATAGCCAGCGCATTTAATAAACATGGGGTTTAATAATGGTAAATGGGATATCATATGGATATAATGGGGATATAACGAACAATATTGGAATATCCATGAATAAAATGATGCTTGGGTAGGCCAACATGGCTTAGCCATGGATGTTTACAGCTGGGAAACTCATCCAACGATGACTCGGGAATGTTCATGTGCCCGTGTAACTCGGAAGCCGCACTGTTCCTTGACTCAAACCGTTCATTCCATGATTCCATGGCATTTTATAGAATTTTTGTTAAGAATGGTGGAAAGAAAAACGGTTTCCTTTTTCCCGAATGCGTAGCAAGGGTTCCCGTTTCACTCTGGGGGTCTGGGGGTTGAGGGTGTGTTCGCTCGACGTTGCGTCCGCGTCCGCAACCGTCCGCAACCGTTCGCAACCGTCCGCAACCGTTCGCAACCGTTCGTACGAACTCCGTATGGCCGTGCCTATGGGAAGTTCTGCAGAGGTGGTCATTTTTGGAGGTTTCAGACGTGTCGTTGCGTCGTTTCGCCTGGCAGGCGTGGCACTTCGTGACATTCAGACGTGTTCTGCAACGTGTCGAAAGTCGTTTTGCGTGGCAGGCGCAATACTTTTGTGACGTTTTCAGAAGATGTGTTGCAGTTTTCGTGGCAGGCGCAGCACTTTGGACGTGTCCATCGTCATTTTTCGTGGCAGGCGCAGCACTTTAGACGTGTCGTGTTGCGTGTTTTTTGTAAATCGCATTGGCAGGGCTGCGTCAAGTGGCGACAAGGTGCAAATTCCGTGGCAGGCGTGGCATTTTGTGCGATGTGCTGAAAATTGACGGAAGCCTCGCACGAAACATCGATTTTGATGTTGCCAATTTTCGGGTTCTAAGGAAAACTCGTAGGAAAACGTCGATTTTGAAGCTGCAAAGTGTCAAAATTGGAGGAAGTCTCGTACGAAATGCTCGTTTTGGTGCTCCCACGTGTCTCGTCTCGAGTCTCTGGTTTTCCCGTGGCTTCGCTGTGTCTATGGGGGAAGCTGCAAAACTTGTCCTTTTGTTATGTTGCCAACTCTGGAAATTGGAGGAAGTCTCGTACGAAATGCTGGTTTTTCTGTATCCACGTGTCTTGTCTCGAGTCGCTGGTTTTCCTGTGGCGTCGCCGTGTCTATGGGGGAAGCTGGAAAACATATCCTTTTCGAATGTTTCCAAGCAGGTTGTCCTGTCGTTTTGCGTGGCAGGCGTGGCACTTTGTGACATTCCAACCTGTTTGATAATGTGTTGAAAATGTGAAAATTGGAGGACGTCTCGTACGAAATGCTGTTATTTCTGCATCCACGTGTTCTGTCGCGAGTCTCTGGTTTTCCCGTGGCGTCGCCGTGTCTATGGGGGAAGCTGGCAAACCTGTCCTTTTCGAATGTTTCCACGCATGTTGTCCTGTCGTTTTGCGTGGCAGGCGTGGCACTTTGTGACATTCCAACCTGTTTGACAACGAGCCGAAAGTGTCTCCGGTTTTCTAGACACGTCGCAGTGTCTATGGGGGAAGCTGCAAAACATCTCCTGCTCGAGGGTTTCTAAGCAGGTTGTCATGTCGTTTTGCGTGGCAGGCGTGGCAGCGTGGCACTTTGTGACATTCCAACTTTACACTCTACACTCTACACCCCACACTCCACGCTCTACACTTTCCACTCCACACTCCACACTCCACACTTTACACTCCACACTTTACACTGTACACTCCTCACTCCACACTTCACACTTTACATTCCACACTCCTCACTTTACACTCCACACTCCACCTTTGACACTCTACACTTTCCACTCCACACTCCACACTCCACACTTTACACTCCACACTCCACACTTTACTCTTTACACTTTACACTCCTCATTCCACACTCCACACTCCACACTCCTCACTTTACACTCCTCACTTTACACTCCTCACTCCACACTTTACACTCCACACGCTACACTTTCCACTCCACACTCCACACTCTACACTTTACACTCCACATTCCACACTTTACACTTTACACTCCTCACTCCACACTCTACACTCCACGCTCCTCACTTTACACTCCACACTCCTCACTCCACAATCTACACTTTCCACTCCACACTCTGCACTCCACACTCCACACTCCACACTTTACACTCCACACTCTACACTTTACACTCCTCAGTCCACACTTTACACGCCACACTCCTCACTTCACACTCCTCGCTTTACACTCCACACTCTACACTTTCCACTCCACACTCCACACTCCACACTTTACACTCCACACTTTACACTTTCCACTCCACACTCCACACTCCACACTTTACACTCCACACTTTACACTTTCCACTCCTCACTTCACACTTTACACTCCACACTCCTCACTTTACAATCCACACTCCACCTTTGACACTCTACACTTTCCACTCCACACTCCACACTCCACACTTTACACTCCACACTCCACACTTTGCACTCCACACTCCACACTTTACACTCCACACTCCACACTCCACACTCTACACTCCACACTCCTCACTTTACACTCCACACTCCACACTTTACACTTTCCACTCCACGCTCGGCACTCCACACTCCACACTTCACACTCCACTTTCCACACTTTACACTCCACGCTCCACACTTTACACTCCTCACTTTACTCCGCACTGCACACTCTACACTTTACACTCCACACTCTACACTTTACACTCTACACTCTCCACTCCACACTTTACATTTTACACTCGGGACTCTACACTCCACACTCTACACTTTCCACTTCCCAGTCCACACTCCACACTGCACACTCTACACTTTGCACTCCACACTTTACACTCCACACTCCTCACTTTACATTGCGCACTCCACACTCTACACTTTCCATTCCACACTCCACACTCCACACTCTACACTTTACACTCCACACTCCACACTTTACACTCCACACTTTACACTTTACACTTTACACTTTACACTCCACACTCCACACTCCACACTCCACACTCTACACACTGCACACTCTACAGTCCACACTTTACACTCCACACTCCACACTCTACACTTTACACTCCACACTCCCCACTCGACACCCCTCACTCCACACTCGACACTCTACCTTTTACACTCCACACTCCACCTTCTACACTTTACACTCTGCACTCCACACTCTACAATTTACAAACTCCACACCCCTCACTCCACACTCTACACTTTACACTCCACACTGCAGACTGGTAACAGGGGAAATATGTACAAGACTGTTCAAACAAACTATTGCAGAAAAGTGTTGTGCGTGACTGCATATCCATGTGTTTTGACATCTGTACCATTAACATAGGTGTGAGCATTCGGGTTCGTGGGCTGCATCTTGTTTTAAAAAACTAAATCTTTGTTCCTAATTCGTTCTCTTGATTCAAGTCCTGCCAAGTCACAAGTCCCAATCACTTGGATCCCTGCATCACTTGAATGAATTCCCAAGTCCAATCTTCATCCTCTGGTAATTGAACATAGCTACGGACAATGACCCAGTTTAGTTTGATGATGTACTGTACTTATATAATACTTATTGTCATCATTATTATTGTATACTAATGCTATATAATGCTATTATTATCGTTATTACTATTTTGAGTGTTTGAAGAGCCATATTACCAACATCTATTATCACTAAAGAAGGTCCAATTCTCAAAAAACATCATTTTTTTCCAGGTTTTTTTCTTTTTTACCAACATCATTAGCAGGACTAAGCATGTTAAATTACCACCCCATTACCAACATCGGTAATTACTAAGCATGTTCAATTCCCTAAAAAAGTACAATTTGCCACAGTTATTGCCGAAGTCTATTAAACATCTTATATAAATGATCAAACAGTATAATTTTTCCAACATCTAATATTACTAAAGGAAGGTCAATTCACAAATTTTCCCAGTTTCCAAAGGTAATATTAGTGGTTTCTAATATTAGTAAAGATTTCCTAGTTTCTAATCTTGAAAATTACTAATATCATGATTTTTCCAGATTTTCCCAAGACTTTTTCAGTTTCCAAAGCTCCCTGGTAAGACGACAGTAGGACGACCCCCCCCGCAGGCGGGCCATGTGGAGGTGGTGAAGCTCTTGGTGGAGGGGCGACGTGGGGATGCTGGGACAAAGAAACTATAGGGATATATGTATATATATATGTATGTATATAGGGATTTATGTATGTAATAGATTGATATATACCTTAGATATATCATGATATACCTATAGTTAATAACTATAGATAGCTATCATCTTGGATCTATTGCAACTTACTAGTGGGAGAATAAGTACTTTTCAAGAACCCTATAAAAGTACATAAGTACTTTTTCTTCTCAACTATTATTATAACTATAGTACGTAGGTAATCCTGGGACAATAATATCGGTCTCGGGACACACATTACCATTGTTACATAAGTATGTGGTTATAACTATATAGTAGCAATATATAGTAATATTGAACCATAATGGTAGATGATGGTAAATGATCACTACAGTTATTACTAAAAGGACACAAAAGTACATATGAGACATGGAATGTTACAACAATATTTTATATGTAAAAGGGTGTTGTTTCCAACTATATAAGCTATTATGCCACACCGTAGAATATAAAGTAATGGTAGTAGTATGGGATATTATAGAAGTGCAGAACATAAATAGCTGTGTAAACCCTCCGTAAACTAACTATGGTTCTATACCCCATTCAAATTCCATGGGCCCATTACGTTTGATGATGTATATATCAGTACTGGAGGTAAACCTCCAACTATTACCCTCTGGTAAACATACAAAAAGCTATGGGAAGATCCCCCATTTTTCATGGGTAAATCCACGAACTTTCTGAACTTTCTATGGCCATGGCTTCAATGTTGCAAACTCTGAAAGTTTGTTGACCAGGCCGGGTATGGGTACAGAAATGGGACATGGAATCGATGGAAATTATTGAGCAGGTTTTCGCCATTTGGGACGAAAATCCTGGCACCACTGGTAGATGCAACTCACCTCCATCCGTTGCCAGCTGGCCAATCCGGGAGAGACAAAATCAGCTGAGATAATGAGAACTAGATGGTGCATTTCCTAGCCTCAATCAAACATGGTTGGAAATTCTGCCAGAAGTTCGATGATTTTCCCAGCGACAAAAACCCCACACCGAGGATAAGGAGGCACGCTACAATGGTGCCACGGCTCTCTACGTGGCTTCCCTCAAGGGTTATGTGCCTTGGTGACAGATGGAATGGCCATCCAGTTGAACCAGGGTTCTCAACCAGAATTATCAGGAGTTGTAGTGGTAGCACCGCTTTGTTGCTTCACATATGATCTTGGAACGGGGGATCATGAACCTACAGGACTCGTATTTTTCAGCGGACGCCGCCACAGACCACCTCGACAGACCCTTTTCCCAAAAGGGATGGCAATCTGGTTAGTGGTTTGGAACCATGGAATTTTATGACGCCATATGTTGGGAATAATAATCCCAACTGACTTATATTTTTCAGAGGGGTTGACACTACCAACCAGCAATGGTTTTCTGGAGTCGCCAATTTTGGGTCTCATTCCGCATCCGTAGCTGGTGATTTGGGATAGACTAAGATATAAGGCCGCTAGCATCCAGAGATCAAGGGATCAAACGTAGAAGGTCCTTAAATTCTCAGCAGGTAAAATGGACAAGTGGAAAACCATGGAAAATTACTTCTAGACATACTTCTGCTAGACTTCTAGACATAGTAAATCCCCAAAATAGTACACCCAAGATTGCCAATTGCCAGCTTTCAGAAGTAACTTCCCCAAAATCCACCGGTTGGTCGTCGATCTCCAGGTGGCGATTGTGAATGTGCTTGTAGAGGGGGGTGTCCTGGCTGGATGGTGAATCTACCGCATAGGAAAGGATGCTGTCACGTTTTTCCAGATCACAGTTTCTGGCTGGATCACCAGGAAAGTTGTTTTGGCAAGTTGTTATGTTTTTTATTCCGTCATTCGTTGGCTTGTTTGACTTCCAGTGTTTGGACCACTTTCCGGATCTTTTTTGGTGCCGCGGTGCAGATCATGGTCTTAGGAGAGAAGTATCATCCCAATCATAAAATGGCTGTTTCAGGTTTTGGACATAGGATGAAATATGGTATAGTCATGTATAGTCTATATAGTAGTATGAAATATGGATAAATATGGTACAGTAGCAGTAGTAGTAGCAGCAGTAGCAGTAATACTTTGCACAGACATGTCCAAGTCGAGCTCTGGAGCCGATGTTTACTGAAGAATCCTTAGCTCGACTCGGGGGTTATCTTCCAGTGAACGTTGGATGTTTCACGTGGAATCATGGCGAGATGATGTTTCGCAAAAGGTGAGTTGGGTAAAGATCAGCAAAGCCATCATTTCCAATAGGAAACCCTGGTTCCAAAGCCATCTCTGGAGTCGTTCTATGTCATTTCTATGTCATGCTGTTGCAATTTTCGGGCCCGCAGCAGGATCTTGCTGAATCTCTACCTTTTTTTTTGTCCAATTTGTGAGTTGGTTCACATCGTACTTAGGCAAATCTGGTTTTTAAGTCGGTTGATCAATATCATCATGTTAACATCTGAAGTGGTAGCGGTTACATTTCGTCAGTCTCCCCATTCTTCATTGGTTAGTCCTGTCGTCTTGCGAAATTGTTGTTAACCTCCCCATTGGTGAACCTCCCCACACTTTGCACAATTTGCTCAATCTGTAAAGATGCCCATGTTTGTCGCTGAACTTCTCCCTATTATCCTTAGCCAATGTAGCCTTATTGATTGGCAAACAATTGGCTGGACCCAAAGTCATCAAACGATTGACAAATTCTGCTGCCCTTTGGTATTAAAACATAGCTATATGGAAAATCACCATGTTTACTAGGTAAAACCGGACTAAATGTGCCAGTTTCCATGGCCATGTGCAAGTATACGTACCAGAGGGTATTCATCAGTAAGAATTAACTGGCACAGGGTAAATAGACCCTCCAATAAACTACTAACTAGTATTAACATGTATTAACTACTGTTATATAATCAATTGGAGGGCACGAAATAATTACCAGAGGGTATTACCAAAGGTCATCTGAGTACTAAATCCCACGGCAAAGTGTTGGAAGCCTTGGCAAAAATACAACTTCATTGACACATTCACGCAAAAAAATCCCTAGAATCTGATTAAATGAGCATTAAACCCATCAAACTTCCCATGCCATTGAAATCACCATGAATCACCATAGTTTCCAACGAAAAATCCGAAAAATCCCATGAAATCTCTTTCAAAATTCCCATTCATATCCCCATTTAGATGGTCTAATCCCATTAAATTTCCCGAGGTGCCGACCTCAATGGCGCCACCCCGGCGAACGAGACGCCATTGTTTGTGGCGTCCTTGCGGAACCAGGTGGAGACCGCTGGTGGGAAGAAACGGGCGGATTTTCATGGATTTTGAGTGAATTTTCTTGCCTTTTCAATGTGTTTTTTTATTTTGTGGATGTCAAGGGTTCGATTTCACGGGGGATCCAGGTTGGTCTAAGCACCAACCAAAACCAGGAGAATTCCCAAGGGGAGTTTCATTGGGCATGTAGATGTGGAAACTGTTCATTTTTTGGGACTTTACATGAATGAACCCCGACCAAACATGGGTTTTTCTAAGCAGCAAAGCCAGATTTGTCATGATTTTACCAGTTTCAGCCGGGGACATCATTTGAACATCAGTGCTATCACAAGTTTTGGAGGTTGAAACATCTAATTGCCCTCTGGTTATTCAACATAGCCATGGAAAATGGCCCATTTATAGATGATTTTCCCATTAAAAACCCTATTTATAAGGGATTTTCCATGGCTATGTTAAATAACCAGATGGTACTGATGACTGTATTTTCAGTTTTCACCGTAAGTAGATGGAAGACATGGGCACTCTAAGCCATTGTTTTCCCATGCTTTGAATGGAATTTCCTATGGCTTTCCCATGGGTTTTTAAACCGGACAATTCCCATGTTTTTTTCCGTTTTCCCATGTTTTCCCCATGGTTTTCAACTGAGACTTCCCCAAAAACCGCGCCGCGCCGAACTGCAGGACGAGGTCGTGAAGGTCTTGTTGAGAGGTAGCGCAGATGTGAACAAGGCGGGCTTCGGCGCGTCATGGAAAAATCGCCCTTTTGAATGGCCCTTTAAATGGGAAAATTATAGGTCATTTATGGGAATTTATGGAGATAGTAATGGGACTTTAAGAGGAACTATATGGAATTTAATGAGACATGGGAAATTCACGGGAATTTCATTCCGTAATCACCAGCATTTGACCCAGCCGCGGTGGCGGTTTGAGATTTCAGAGGGGTGGCCCAGCAACCAAACTTTTGTCCCAGAATTGCTGGTAACTTTGCAGGAGCCCATTGTGGATAGAGTGCTTAAGAACCAGGTGTTCCTTTTCCCTTATGAAATACCTTTGGCCACAGCAGCTATCCCCAAAATTATAGGAACATGTCATAACTTTCCCCTAATCCAATCCATGAATGATCCATGAATGATCCATGAACACGCTCATGAATACCCCTCAAAAAAGAGCCCTGACAAAGAAATCTCATTAACAACCATTACGAATCCTCTTCATCAATTAATCCATTTAGAAACCACGAAAAGAATCCCAAGTCATATAAGTCATCACCATAAGAAATCCACTATTTGAGCCCCCTTTGAATCCCCATTGAACATCATTAAACATCATTAAACACCATTAAACCACCATTTTCCTATGGTTTTATAGTAGAATTACCATTAAATCACCATGAAACCACCATTTTTGCCCGCCGGTGTCCCATCTGAAAAACCAAGGCCACCTCGGATGGTGCCACACCACTGCTGGTCGCGGCTCAAGAAGGCAGAGATTAGAGATGGGTATGTGCATAGAGATGATTTATGTGGGTATGTGCATATATATATATATCCATACCTCATATATGTATATCCACACCTCATATATGTATATCTTACTATATATATATACACATATGTGTGTGTATGTATGTATGGATGTATGGATGTATGGATTCCTGGATGATGGTATCGTATATAAAGATCAATCAATGGATGTATTCCAACTAGAATGAGGGAGTACTAATGGGGGTTTCACCAACTATCATTTTTTGAATATGGGAACATAACCAGTCACTTATGAACCAGTCACGCATGGGATGATTGTTCACTTTTTTCTGCCCGTTTAATCTGGGTTGAGGATGGATGAAAAACAGCAACCTCACGTCACGACGTCATTGGAATGATGGGAATTGGATTCTGGGAATCATCCCCATAGCTGGTTTTATCCCAGGTTGGTGAACTATGATGATATATCCAGACATATTCTGTGGGATACTGTGTTGATATACCCAATTGATTATAGATTATCATAGCACGCCCAGAAAGAAGGAACTTATATATATATATACATACACATATACACCAGTGAAATCCACGTCCGCCTAAAACAAATGGTACTGTACATTTTTCATCTTTTCGCGAGATTACTAGCAGAATTTTGTGGATTTCTGTGGGTTTCCCTGTAAAACATCATGTAGAAAATTGTAGAAATAAGTGGGTTTTCCCGTAATTCCCAACAAAGACAAGTACCATCTGGTTATGACTAACATAGCCATCGAAAATCCCCATTTCTAATAGGTAAACCCAGGTAAACCATCTATAAATGGGCCATCTATACCATGGCCATGTTAGTCATAACCAGAGGGTACTAATAGAAATTCCTGGTTTTCCCTTTCTTCCCGATGAAAATGATCCATGCGTTCCAGAATCCAGGTCACATGAAGGCCGTAAAGCTTCTGCTTGAAGCGGGCGCTGATCACGTTTGGGAGCCAATTTGGGAAGGTAAACCCTTGGTGAAGGGCGTATAGCAACCCCCCAACAGGATAGATGTGATGTTACAAAAACCTTCGCAAAATAGTGATAGTTGGTGCTTTCTATCTGTTTTTTTTGGGGGTGGGATGGAGTTGAAGTGAAATTGATCCAACATATTTCGAGATCACCGGCAGCCCAGCGGAATGGGAATCAACCTTGGATATAGTGATCGAGGCCTGCGGATGCAGCTAGGAATGACGAGGACATTGGGGATTTCTCCGCAAAATTACAGGTTTGACCAATAACACTGGGGGTTATAGGAATATGTTGAGAAATTTGTACCCCCCCAAAAAAAGCAAAAGAAAACAAACAAACATCCCAAAAATAGCAATCCCCAAGACAGAGAGAGAGAGAGTATAGTTTGCATGTATAATCCTCAGTATATCCACATAATTTCCATGAATAATCTTATAAATCAACATCAATTCCCATTTAAATTCTCATTAACTCCCATGAAATCCTCATGAACCACCATTGAACTCCCATAAAATCCAATAACATCACCATGAATCACCAAACCATTCTAATTTTACCATGAAAATCTCATAATTCCCCTGGAATTTCTCCACACGCCCTGCCTCGCGCTGAGTGCCTGCGGATGAGCACCGGCGAGACCGCCCTGGCGTTGGCCAAGGATGAAGAGACCAAGGTGCGGGTTGGAACGACCTGATGGGAGGTGATATTTATGGCTAATTCATGGGAGTTTTATGGTGATTTTATGGTGATTTTATGGTGATTTTGGAAGCTTTATTGCATCTTTCTGCGGATTTTTATGGGAATCCATGGCATCATTCCAGTGGCCAAACACTGATTTTTGCACATGGATCTGAGGGGAAGATTCCAGGCCAACATCGACAACTGATCAATCCGTCCACTAGTTGTACTGTTCTCATCGCCAAAAGATGAAACACGTAGAAACTTCACGACATCGTGGCACATCGTGACATAAATTTCGCCATCATCTCTCCATCGCGGGTGACGGGCTGGTAATTTTTCAGATAGCTATGGAAGATGACCCTTGTCTATAGGTAACTCATTGAACTACCCTCTGGTGAACATACAAAAAGCAATGGAAAATGGCTATAGAAATAGTGGATTTTCCCATTAAGAATGGTGATTTTCCAGTTCGCTATGTTAGTTCACCAGAGGGTATCTTAAATTACCAGATGGTTAAATCCTGTTCACATCCCAAATCCCATTGACATCTAATTTCCCATGAATGTCCCATGAATATGCCATCAATATTCCATTAAATCCCATTCACTTCCCATCAACATCCCCTTAAAATCTCATGAATATCCCAAAGATATCCCATTGAAATCCCTTTCGCATCCCCATTTTCCCAACATTTTCCCAACATTTTCCCAACATTTTCCCAACATTTTCCCAACATTTTCCCAACATTCCCATATTCATATCCCACTGATCTTCCATTTTTGCCATGTCCAAAAAAAGGGGATCCTGGCCCCGTGGCCCTGGCGAAGCTTCGCCGAGGAGCTCTTTTGGACCACGCGCACACCGCTGCGGCCGGGCTTAAATCTGCGTGGCCCCAACGTGCCCAATGCGCCTTGGGTGAGTTTCTGAGTTTCGCTGATGTTTGCAACAATATTTGGTGACATTTTTCATGAGAAGATCCATGGAATATCTATGGGATAATGGGATATATATATATAATAATTATGAAGACATATATATATATTTATATTTATATAATGATACACACACACATATATATATACATATTATATATTATGCATTTCAATGGGACATTTTATGGGAACTTTATGGGATATGGGATGTCCATGGGATAAGAATCGAATGGGACATATTTATTTGGCTAATCAAAGATGGCCGGCCGCTGGATTCTTGTGGGAGGCTGATGCACGGCATCAATCGGGATGATTTTCACTGGCCACCCCCTTTTTGGATACCCTCTGAACATAGCCATGGAAAATGGCCCATTTATAGATGGTTTACCTATGGTTTACCTATTAAAAATGGTGATTTTCCATGGCTATGTTAGTCATAACCAGAGGGTAGAACGAGGTAAATGACTTGAACAACAAGGGAAAAGCGGTTAAAACCGCTTCTTTCAAGCAAAATTTGACGCTCAGGCAGCATCTTTTCATCTTGTTCGTTTATCCCAAGTTTTGGAGGGTTAGATCCATTCTGGGCTTGGCTCGACTTAGACTCGGTCACGGATAGACATGGATAAATTAATTCCAAGCCGCAAGTTGCCCGTTTTTTTTTTGATGGGACTCCGAAAGAGGTTGGGATCTCGTTTGCCACGGGAGATCCCAAAATATCCCTTGGTTTTCAGCCGGAATCCCAAGAAAGCCAGGCACTTCGTATGGGCCTGGCTGTATGACATCAAGGTTAGACCAAATATTTTCTCCGGATGGAAGTGGGGCCACAAGACATGTAACGTATCACCGGGAGTCATCACACATTCTTGAGGAGAAACTGTGGACATGTGAACCACTAAGGGAAAAAACATAGGAGATGATCAAGATGGTTTCCCAAGAGTTTCATTAAAAAACATCACAGTTCTCCCTATGTTTGTATCACTTAAAAGGTTTCTTTTACATCTCAGATTTTCACCCAAAACGGATGGTTTTTTCAACCAGGCAGGACGGATCTGATGGGTGTGAGACATGTTTTCCACTGGCCTTGGGCACTCAATTTGGAGAAACGAAACAACCGAAACAACCGAAACAACATCAAGATACATCTTTTGGGCACGGATTTGTATCATTTTTGGTGACAAAAAGTGGTGGCAAAAGGCCCATGCTTGGTTGGATTTATGGAGAGAGAGAGAGAGATATGTATATATGTGTGTATTATTGATTCCAGGAGTACTTCAGAAGCGCATAACCTGCCGCAGCGAACCTTCGCTCCCACATGCAGCATGACAAAAAATATGTGTATTATATATGTATATATGTATATATATGTACCTATGGATAGATAATATACATATATATATATGTGTGTATTATATATATATATATACACATGTGTTCCGGTTCTAGGACGTGTGGAGAAATTGGGTGCCCAAAATTCAGACACACCCAGCTTGCCTGGAAGCGGCGGGGCGATCAGATTCGGAAGCTTCCGGAGGGAGCGGAAAGGAAATCAGAGAATATCAGAGATATAGGATGGGGCCCCCAGTCGATAGCGTTCAGTTGAGATAGAAGTGGCTTAAGTATGGTTTATGGATGGTTTATGGATGGTTTATGGATGGTTTATGGATGGTTTATGGTAGATATATGGATGGTTTATGGTAGATATATGGATGGTTTATGGTAGATATAACTGATATAACTATAGTTAATGGGGTTTGTAAACCAACTTATAACTGGGGGGGCCTCATCCTGTATGTGAATGTGACATATAACAACCCCCCGACAAAGATAGAAGCGAGTAGAATCATGCGAAAGTAGTGGTAAGTTGCTTTTCTGTCTTTTTCTAGGGTGGTCATTGCATATGCCTACTGTTGTACAGTATACCTTGTGCAATGTTGTAGCCCCAGATCTGTGTTGATAGGATATCAATGGGATATGAATGGCAGGTGGCTTTCCACATTTCTTGTTTTCCATCCTTAAAATGGAATGATTGTCCCGATTGACTTTCACATTTCTAGGATATATGGAAACCAGCCACTGGGCTCACCCATGATCATTCTGCATTCTGAACCATGTTCGATGGAATTCTGAGTAAAATGAGCTTATTCCAGTGCTTTACTCCACCCTCAGCGCAGTGATTCTTTACAACGTCTTTACATAGTTCCACGCCCAATACCCCAGTTTTTTCAAAAATAGATCTACCCTCTGGTAAACTAACATAGCTATTGAAAATTGCCATAGAAGTAGTGGATTTACCCATTAATAGCATGGTGATTTTCCATAGTTATGTAAGCGTTTACCAGGGGGTATCAAATTTTTAGTTCGTCGCCTTGAAATGGACAGGCATTCAGAAGCCAACCAAGTCCCCAAACTAATCTGCCAAACATCTGACTGTTGAGTTCAGATGAACACCCACTGTTTGGAAACGGGTTGATTTTGGGCCATGCATAGATATTGAATGGGCCATCAAAAAACCATAGCGAGGTTGAAATCCCAGAGTACCGGAGGGCATTTATGTCCTATTTATGTCCTATTTATGTCCTATTTATGTTCTATTTATGTTCTATTTATGTCCATTTATGTTTACAAAAAGGAGATGATTGTGATAACCCCCATTTTGGCACCCCTTGGTGCCCTGTGATATTGGTCAATTCTGTCCCCAGAATTGGCATTTTCCTTTCCCATTGCCATGGCGGACAGCTTTCTGCAGTCTCACTCAAAGCAGCGCTGCCCGTGCGGATCGATTTCGTCGGTGAGGGAAGAAACAGGAACAAAGGGTCCACTGGAAAAGCGGTTTGGTGGGTAAGGATGATTTACATCATTTTTTAGATTTTAGATATGAATTGGAATAGACGTACAGTAACCCCCAAAAAAGATCGAACAGCCTCAATTTATCAGTAATTTCTATCTTGGGGGTTGCTATGATGCTGAAAAATCGTCCACTAATCTAATGGTTTTCAGCCACAGGCGGACAGCCGCCCTGATGGATAATGACTAGTGATGAATGATCAATAATTAAGCAATGAATCAGCATATAATCAGCATATAATCAGCATAGGTGTTCCTCAAATAACCATATTAATTTCATGATCAACTATAACTATTGGTGGAATAACCAATAGAGTGATCAACTCTAACTAGTCATATTTTGATAACCAATTGATCAATCTATCTGACCAGTCTAATCGAATTGAATCATTAAAAAATAAGTTATAAGTTATAACTATATAATCATTCTATATAACTATAATCATTCTATATAGTCTGTTCGAATTCTAATCGAATTTAATGATTCAAATGGATCAACATCCATAGTGGATTGAGCTTTTTTTCGACACCGGCCTCTCCACACGGCGGCTTCGGTGACGCGTGAAGATCTCATGTGCAGTGGTGGGTGAAGCCAGAGCTGAGGGTTTTCGTCATTTGGAAGGTTGCTAAACCGTAGGATTTCACCATCTATGGTGATTTTTCATGGTGATTTAATGGTGATTCTACTATAAAACCATAGGAAAATGGTGATTTAAGCACTATAAATGGTGATTTAATGGTGATTTAATGGTTTAACAATGGGTTAACAATGGTGAATAATGGGATGATATGGGAATTACCCCCTGATAATTTCGCAGTTTGCGAACTTGAAGCCATGACCCATTTCGTTCGTTGATTTACCGCACTGAAAAATGGCGATGTTCCAGTTCGCAAACTTTGTTGGTTTACCAGAGGGTAGATCAAACATCAGCCGAATCGCCATCAAAAAATTTGGTGGAAAAAAACCATGATTCACCATCAGAAATGGGTGAACATTGTGAACATCAAAAATGCTGGTGAAAACCAGCAAAAATGGTGGATGTTACCAATGATGGGAATGATGGGTTGAAGATCATTGGATTGGATTAATGGAAACTTCACCGGACACCTCCATCGTTTTTTGTTTTTTTTTGTCTGTGTGGGGGGGGGGCCGGGAAACACCATAGTTTCCCGCAGAATCTTAAATCATTTCTCATTGAAACTTTGAGAATCCATGGCAAGGATCTGCGTAAATTATAACGACCTCACTGTTCTCCCTCACTGGAATCATGGTTTATGTTAGGGAAATCATCCCCAAATGGCCTTAATTAATTCAGGTTAGTGAAATATTATATATAATTTACCCATATATATATATATACATACATACATATACATATACATATATATATACATACATATATATATATATATATTACATATATTTTTGTGACATATTTGGATGGACCACATGTTATAATAATTGATGGACACCGCTGGAGGAATTCCACCAGACGATTGGTGAGATCCCATCCCCGCAGCAAAGGGTCAACGTTGACACTTTGCGAACTGGAAAATCACCATTTTCACTGGGAAAATCACCAGTTTTAATGGGAACATCACGATCTTTAATGGGTAAATCAACTATTTCTATGGGCAATTTTCTATGTTTCAAACGGTTAGTCATTACCAGAGGCTATTTCTGTTAATCCACTCAATCCACTCTCCCCGAAATTTTTCGTACACCGAACGAAACTTCGGTTCAGTGCTGGTTCTATTTCTCTTTGGAAGTTTCTTCCAGTGGGAAGAGTGGCTTCACCCTCTAGTTTGTGCCTGTGGAGGGATCCCAGCAAAATAGTTCACCATCCCTAGCTGGAGCTCACTCAACGCAGAAATGGAGCGGCTCTGGGGGCTATAGGGTGTTTTTTGGCTGAAATCCATTAGCCACACAAAAGTTCGAAAAGCGACATGTCTACTTTTCCAAGAGGATCCTGCTATTCTATTTTTTTTTTGGGGTGGGTCCTCTTCTATGGCAAAAATCGCATCCGGAGGATGTTTAGAAAGCAACATCAAAAGCCGGGCGCTATCTATGGACGCTCCGCTTGGAGCCATCGATCCAGATTCTGCATAGGCATAGGTTTCATATGGTTCCATGTCTCAATGGATTGGTTTAAGGGAAAATTTACAGGAAAACCCCATATTTCATGGGAAAATCTATGGTTTCCTGTAGATTTTCCCTTAAACCAATCCATTGAATGTCTGTGGCTACTGCTTTTGGACAATGGTTGGGGGCTCTTTCTTCGTATTTCACAAGTTGGGGTACTGAAGAAGCGCGTCTTTTTTGTGGGGAATCAGTTGGCCATTTATTTGGACTGGCTTGGTGGCTTGGTGGCTTGATATTCCGGTCCCATTTGAAAAGCATGTCCCATCATTATCATGTTTGGCCATTAAGGGAAATACATACACACATGCACACATAAATATGTAACTATATGTATATATGATGTGTATTATACATATGTATATATATATGTATATGCATATATATATATATATTACTATTGTTTATAGTGCGCATGCAATATATAAATCCATAGGTAAAAGGATCGCAAAGATCATCAAGTTCTCGCAGCTCAAACCAGGATCGATCCACTGCGCGATGGTGAGATCTTCATGGGCGACAAATGGCAACCGCAAGAGCCCAGAGGGTGCCTTGCTGGAGATGTTCCTGCTGGATTCAGTAGGAAGGGGCTGCTCCTTCTGGTGATTTATGGGGATTTTTTATAGGTTGTTGGGGGATTTCATGGAGGTTTTAGTGGGATAAACAATGGGTGAGGTGATTTAATGGAACATGAAAATGGTGATATATAATGGGAATAGAACCAACAATAGCGACATGTAAATGGATATCATCTATGACCAGGCTATTTTTGGCAAACTAACTATCAACAATGGTGGAGTCAACCAACAACAGTTGAGGTTTAACTATCAAACCATGTTTTTTTTTGGCGATTTAAGCAACTATCAAACTATAGTTAACATTAGTTAACTACCAATCCCCAACTATAGTTACCCTCTGGTAAATTAACATAGACCCTGGCAGATAGGGGTTGGAAGACTAGTTTCCATTACAAATTGGTGATTTTCAGGGTCTATGTTAATTTACCAGAGGGTATCTGCTATCCATTTCCAACGGGGATTGGGGATTCCACCGGACACAGCTCCGAAAAAAGCTGGCATCCAACATGGGATCCGCAACGGGAGATGTAACCCGAAATCAACGGAGAACTTGTCGACTTGTCGGCGGAGAAAACAGGGAATGGATGGGTATAAGTTGAAACTATCAATTGGATATCCCCCAAGATAGATAGCTGAGTTGGTTTATAAGTGGCTGAATTCTATGGTTTATGGTAGATATCACATGATATAACGAACTAGTTAATGGGGAGTACAATGGTTTATAAACCAACTTAGCTATCTTGGGGGGCCCCACATTGTAGGGATATGAGCTACAGCCGAAATTTCGGTGAATGGAGAGTAGTATTCGAGACATCGTTATTTTTTGGAAATTGAGCTGGGGCTTGGAAAACGATAATACACTTCAAAAATTGATGACTTGGAGCTCTATACCACATATTGACCGCGGCCCATAGAGTAATTAGATATTTTGATATTTTCACCGTGGGATTCGAAGGATTTGAACCAAGCAACGGAAGCAACGTTGGTTGGTTAAACCAACAAACCAACGTTGAGATTTAACGAACAAGAGTTGGGTGTCAGCTACTGCTGAAGATATAATCTCAGTAATCTCAATGGATAAAATTCATCTCATCCACCTAATATGATTAATATGGAACACCCAGAATAGTGGTAATTTGAACATGTTCAATCATTTTTTGAGGTTCCTGTATACAAAAATCCAGGGAATCCACGGGTTTCCGTTCCCCCCAAAAAAGCGATCTACCCAATGATCGGTGAAATATCTCTAGCCTGGTTGGCATCTAATGTACTGTCCCGATTGAATGTCGTCAGCATGTGGGTCTCCTATGTTTTCCCCTCTATTTTCCTGTTGAGCATAATTTATGATGTGGATTTTCCATGATTTTCCGATGATTTTCCCCCTACACTTGAAGATCGTGGAGGATTTCCATGCATTTCCCTCCCGGCCTCGGCTGACCCAGGGGTGAAGTGGACCAGAGTAAGGGAAACTTTGGATACCAATGGAGGCTGGGCCCACCGGGCCCACTGGGCCAATTGGCCTCACCAATGGGATGGGATCTCAGGAGAGAATGACTCATGGGATTTAATGATTTTAATGGAATATAGCATCATTCTAGGGACATAACAGGAGTATAATGGGGATTGTACTAGGAAGATGATAGGATAGAATGGGATTTACCCTCTGGTAATTTCACAATTTTCATAGTTTGCAAACTGGAAAATCACAATTTTTCATAGGTAGATTTCAAATCATTATTCTTATCATCTATTATATATGAGCTATTTTCAATAGCCATCGTAAATTACCAGAGACTTGCCCTGAGCTCCCAGTCATCTCAATCTTGACCAAGCCTTTGGTGTTGGGAGATCTCCAGGATCCAACAGATTGGAGGTACGTTAGTACCATATCTTTGGCCACATTTTGTGGGGATATTCCCTGAAATTTAGGCCTGAAAAATAGGCCAAAAATAGATGGTAGGTACCTCCAATTAATGGGTTCCTGAAATGGCCATGGACCCTTGGTGTTGTGACTAGCCATTCTTTTTTTCGATGGTAGGTTGAAGATTACTAGTGAGGAGATGGTTTGTCACACTAGGTTCCCACCCTTTCTACAGGCGTGAAAGAACATGGAACATAAAAATGTTGAGTTTGGAAGGAAATTCTTTTCATATTGGACGTGGCCAGTTGTGGGACGTTGTGGGTTCCAGGTGCAATTTCCGAGCTGTATTTGTTTTTTCCTATCAGTTTATTTGATGTTATTTGCTTAAACCATCCAATTTGCGGGTGAAAGCCGTCCATTTTTGGTTCAACAAGAGCTATCCATTGTTTGCTAAAATATGAAAATATCATGCATTTTTGACTTCAATCAGCCATTGTTTGTTCACATATCATTCATTTTTGAGTTCAATCAGCCATTGTTTGTTCACATATCATTCATTTCTGAGTTCAATCAGCCATTGTTTGTTCCCATATCATTCATTTTTGAGTGACATCAGCCATTTTTGGCTTATATAACCCACATATAAACCGTATAAACCATCCATTTTTAGGGTGCAAGCCGTTCATTTTCTGGCGACGCGGCGATAAAAATTGTTTCCAGGCCCCTCTCCTGCTTCGAGAGCGATGAGGATCAAGCCTTGGGGTGACTGCCGACGTTCGTCCACTGTCACAATGATGATGGTAGTGATTTATTAATGGATATTAATGGATATGGATATGGATATGGATGAGGATGAGGATGAGGAGGATGACGATGATGATGATGATGATCATCATCATCATCATCATTGTTGTTCATACTAGCAATAGACAGACATCTGTGGTTTTCTGAATGGGTCGGAAAAATTGACCCATACCCACTTGTTTCCACTTGGAGTTATTCCACATTAAGACTTGGAGTTATTTGGTGGCTTGTTCACCACCAAAACTTCGAATATGATTTATGTATGATGATGGGTTAGTTGTGAAATACTGGGTTCTCTATTTCAATATATTTCGCTATTATTCCCCATATGCGATACTCATAGTATCCCCAATGATTGTTTGTTACCCTGCATCAAATTCATACCTTGACCCTGAAAATAGCCAAAGTCTAAAATCGTCTTCCAAACCCTGACTCATGGCAGGGTCTATGTTGATTTGGGGGAGGGGTATATTGTGACAGCTGCAGAACCTCTGTTTCAGTCAACCTCAGAGGAAAGTTAACCTCATAATAATAAATTCACAACAAATTATAGCTATATCACTTATATGGGTATGGGTCAATACCTATAGATACCATTTTTGATGGGATGAACATCCATTTCCCAGCTATTTTGGGGTTCACTAGGTACCAGGGTTTTGACCCATCCCCATATAACCTCAGTGCATAAAACCTCATTGAACCACAAAAAATCGCGACTCAACATGACAGGACCTGCAGCCCTGGGTGCAACGCCTGGGTCAAAGACACCAGCTGCAGCAGCTGGCGCTGCAGTTGGAGCTGCCGAGGCCAGGAGATGGCCCGTTTTTTCGTTTTTTCGTTTTTTTTTTTTTTGTGTGAAAAATGGTGGGTTTTTATAGAATTTTGATAGGGTTTTTATAGGGATTTTATAGGGTGTTATAGAGTGTTATAGGGTTTTTATAGGGATTTTACACATTTTTTAATAGGGGTTTATCAAGATGAAACCCTATAAAATCCATATTCTATGATATTTTATGGCGGTTTATGGGCTTTATGATGATGTTATATGGATTTGAATGGATCTTGATGTGATTTTAAGTGAATGTCATATGGATTTATGACGATTTACAGGGGATGAAATGGGGGATGGATGTGGGTTTATGTGGGGTTTGGCCAGCAAAGTTATGAATATGAATACGGCTATATATGGATTTACGTGAATTTATAATTGTTTTTTCAATCTTTTTTCGTGGGGCATTGATGGTGACTATGGTTATTAAATATCTGGGGGGGTTTGGAAACAAATCAAGTCTTTGGCTGAAGATTCGCGGTGACGGTCAGCGATTGTGATCCAGTTGAGTGACTTTTGGAAGATTTGTGCGATGGTTTTTCCAGTGTGTCTTTGGAAAAAATGATGGGGATTTAGGTTTATTAGGTGTGCACTAATATTTCTCCACTGCAGAACTCTGCGCATACTTTAGGTGTGAGACTTGTGGTTCATCCAGTTGGTGATTTTGCTGAAGATTTCAAGATGCGTCCCTTCATTGTTGGTTGATTTATGTAATGTGGTAAAGCCAGCAATTATATACCCTCTGGTAAACTAACATAGCTATGGAAAATCACTAAATCCACTATTTCGACTGGGCCATTTTCTATGTCGCAATCTGTGAATGTTTACTAGAGGGTCATGTGGAAAAGCCAGCAATTTTCCAGACTCCCAAGAAGCAAGCATTGGTCATTGGTCAAGCATACCCTTCATGTCGCCCAGTTAGTATTATGCCATAGTTATTCGGTAAACCCTTCATTGCATTCCATCAACGGGAATTTCATGATCCTAAAATGGAGGTACTGTACCATATAAGTGCATATTTTCTAGGGATATTCCCTTACATAGGCCTGAAAAATAGGCCAAACATATATGGTAGGTACCTCCAATTTAGTTTTCTGAAATGTCCGTTGAATTCCATTATCATATTTATATATATATATATATTTATATGATATACCATCAATTTACCCCAACAAAAATAATCCGGGACACATCGAGAAACCCAACTCACCAAGCTGAAATTTTCCTATCAGAAAAAAAGGAATTCATCAACCATCATCAACTTTCTCCTGCCATTCAATATGTATATACATAATTATAAACATATAATCCCATTTATCATCATATTTCTATCCATGTTTTTCCATGTTTTTCCATGTTTTTCCATGTTTCTATCCATGTTTTTCCATGATCGCCACAAGAAGGCAGCCACAGAAATCAGGCCAAAGCCAGAGATCGGCTGGAAGGACGGCCCTTTGCAGGAACTCCAGCTGTTGGTCTGGGAGCTTAGAAGACGCCAGAGACGCAGCCCGTTTTTTTTGGGGGTTACCCTCTGGATTTTCCCATGAAAAATGGTGATTTTCCATTGAAACCTATAGTTTTTATGGGGATAAACCTATAGATATATAAACCTAGTGATATATCTATAGTTTTATGGGGATGATAAACCAATTTACCCTCTGGTAATGACTAACATAGCTATTGAAAATGGCCCAGTCGAAATAGTGGATTTTCCCATCAAAAGCATGGTGGATCTTTCCATAGTTTTTTTGTATGTTTACCAGGCCGGGTATCTAATGGTTATTTAAGTACTTCAATGGTTGATGTTTCTATATGTTCTGAAATGCCAAGATATTTCTCGTTTCTTTTTGGGGATGATCCATGGTTATCTAAAAGTAGGGGGGCAATGTCCATTTACAAGCGGGGTTATAAGCCACATACGATTTTGGGGAGTGAACCATAAAGTATCTTAGCTTCTAGGATATCTATTAATATTAATATACTATAATATAAAATTCATGAAAATGGGTTGATGTTTCTTAAATATCCTCCGGTAAACTAACAGTTTGCAACATAGAACATGGCCATAGAAATAGTTGATTTACCCATTAATAGCATGGTGATTTTCTATAGTTTTTTTGGTATGTTTACCAGACCGGGTACTTTAAGAAATTGAACTTCTGTCCTTGTGATTTCTTGAGTTTGTCGAGTCCCATAACAAGGCACTGGCTTTCGAGAGTGGCCTGCAGTGGCGGCAATGCGATCAGCCTGGGCCGAAGACTCCGAAGACCGGGAATTTTCTGGAAACTTTCCAGGATACCCTCTGGTAATGACTAACATAGCTATTGAAAATTGCCATAGAAATAGTGGATTTTCCCATTAAAAATGGTGATTTTCCATAGTTATGTTAAATTACCAGAGGGTAGTCCATGAAAGATACAGGTTGCTGGTTTCAGACATGAATTTTATTTTCCATTTCATAGATGTCATCCTTCCCATTGACGAACTCATATTTTTCAAGCTGGTTAAGTCACCACCAACCAGGATAATTATGATTTACCTATCTATAGTGAGATTTACCCATCAAAAATGATGTTCCATAGCTATGTTAGTTTACCAGAGGATCATTATGAAAGTGCCCCGGGCTCTGGGTGATTTCTTGAAAGAAAAAAACCAGCCCTCCCACTGAGCTCTCGAATTTCGCTCTAGGAATGGATGCACCTTGAAGGAATGGGCAGAGGCACAATCCATGCAGCCATCAATGGTGGGGTTCCCGGGTTCCCTATGCCCCTGAAACACTGCAACAATCAATCGAGCCTGGGTCAAGTGATCAATGATCTGGTAGCTTTTTCAACTCATTTAATGATAAGCGTGGATGAAATCAGCTTTTTGAATACTGCCATTCCATCAGTTGCCTTTGGATACCCTCCAGAAAACCCTTTCATAGCCGTGGAAATCCATATTTTTTTTTTCCTGGGAAACGATCTAAAAATTACTGGTAGGTGGATTTTCCATAGCTTTCTGTCTGTTTAGCTATGGAAAAGGGCTACTCTGCTGTCCAGTTTGAAGGTCACCAACCCATCTGCGGCGGTCTGGCCGCAGGAGAAGGAGATCCTGAAAAGCACCGTGAAGTACTTTCAGGCGGCGCATAAAAAAAGGTGGTGCCCCAGTTCGTTAGCTAAGTTGGTTTATAACTCCAATAACTATGGTTTATCGTACTTATAACTATACTTAATGGGGTTTGCAAACCAACTTACAACTGGGGGGCCCCACATTGTAGATATCTTCTGGCCCAGCAAGATGGATGAACTGCTTTTTTTTAAAGACAATTTTTGTTGAACTTCCATGGTTTTTTCATGACGTAGCTGTATCATCAATGGGAATTCCAGGATCCTAAAATGGAGGTACTGTACCATATCAGACCATATTTTGGGGGTATATCCCCTTACATAGCCCTTACATAGGCCTTATATATGGTAGGTACCTCCAATTTAGGTTCCTGAAATGGCCAGTGATATCAAGATATGTCATTTACTGGTCAAGTGGTGCACACATGCCATGGTCCAATGGAGGGTCGTGGCAAGACTTTTCGAGGCGGTCTTGGCTATGGGTCAAACTTGTATCAGCGGGGATCGCAGATGCATTGGCCACACTTTTGACCCCCTACCCACTTGGCTACATGAAATCTGGAGTCAAATGGTGGCATTTCCTTGGATTTCCTTAGATTTCCTACGTTTGAATAAGCACACTTGATCACTTGACATGTTTTTTTTTAAATATCTAGACATGCTTAAGGGGAAGGAGAATGGAGGATATGATGGACATATTGACATGCCAAAAAAGAGACATTTCTGACCACAGCGACAGACCGACAGGAAGAGCTGCCGATGGATTTCAAGGGCCCTGTCTGGAGCGGCAAAGCTGCACGGGTGCTGAGGCTGGGAATCGAGGGCCAGATGTCGCAAGGACCAGGACTTGAATGGTGATGACTGGGGGATGGTTTATTATTGTTCTACCCACATTACTTGTACTACTTGTACTGCTTGTACTACTTGTACTACTTGTACTACTTGTGTCTTGGAATTGTTTGGCCTTGGAAAGCCCCAGCAAAAACGGTAACTCAAAAAGAAGTGAGAGTTTGGTGATCACTATCTTCTGGGCTGTGATAACAAACATCCCAGACACAACATTTTTCTCGTGACTCCTGGTGACTTCAGAACAGGTCGACAGCCACGGACAGACCCACCCGAGGCGTCTATTCTTCCGAACAACTATGAACAACTCACACCGGAGCCTCCAAAACACGCACACATATATATATATATATACATATAGAGAGAGAGAGAGAGTTGAATAGATAAATAAATAATAAACTAATAAACAGATAAATAAATAAACAAATAAACAAATAGATAAATACATAAATAAACAAATATATATATATATATTATATCTCTCTCTGTGTTCTTGAAAACGGTTCATTTTTCATGTTCCACGTTGTCCGGTTCCACGTTGCGTCGTACAGGCTCTGCGCAGACGCGGTGCAGAAGAAGGGTTGGAACGACTGGGAGGAGCAGCGCGACCTGAAGAAGTTCACTTTGAAGGACGCAATCGCCGCGACGGTGTTTTTTTTGATTTGGGGAACAATGGGAGGCTGATGATATGCTGATCTACTGTGGATAACAGTGGGTAATAGCTATTTTAAGTATACCATACTATTAACAAAAAAAGTGGATGATATCATCATCACTATGTAAAAGTGGAGAATATTCGCTTATAGTGGATGATAAGGTAATTTTTTAAAACTATAGTGATAATTATCAATCATTATCATTATAGATATAGTGATTGATATGATCATTATTAATGTAGGAAACCCCGGCTGCCATTTGCACCATCCCCCAGTCATCAGTGATGTTTTTTCATGATTGTTCCACCATCCCTACATGCTGGCAGCCAGGGTAAATCCCACATCAAATCTACTCTTAAGTTGGGATTTATAGAACATACCCTCTGGGAAATTAACATAGATCCTGAAAATGACCAATTTATAGTGGAAACTAGTCTTCCAACCCCTATCTGGCAGGGTCTATGTTAATTTACCAAAAGGTAATCTTCTATAAATCCCAACTAAAGTCTGAATATTAGCCTATAGATCTTATAGCTAGGATTTGTTATGTTTCTTCAAAAGTTCGCAAAAAATGCCAATTCTATAAATCCTCACTTTTTCCACGAACTTTTGTTCAGAAAAAAAACATCAGGAATGACACCCAGCTCCACCCAGGACTGGGAAGACTGGGACTTCAAAGGTGACGAGGTGAAACAGAAAGCCATGAAGGACGGCGTGGGACCTAAGGTCCCGCGCACCAGGTGAATCCTTTTTCCTTTTTTTTTTCTGGGAGAAATTGGGACATTTGGAGGATATTAATGGGAGTTAATGGGATATTGATGGGATATTTATGGGATATTTATGGGATTTTATGGGAATCTATGCTGATTCAATGGGGGATTTAATGGGGATATAGCCAGCACTGGCCAGAGGATGGGTCAAACATGTGGTTTTTACGGTAAACACGTATCTTTTTCAAACACGACTGCAGTAGTATTAATTAAGGTATGCCCGCTACTATCTAAGATTATCTTTTTCACATTCAGGATTGCGACCTCTCACACTTTCTCACATTTTCTTTGGAATCCAGGACCACTATATCATATCAGCTATGTTTTCGGGACCAAACAGCAGAGTAGCAGGGCTTTTGGCCCATAGGTTGCAGCAATATGCAGCAACCATGGCAACAAACAAAATCTCCATGTTCAACAAGTACGATAAGAGCATCATTTTTTGAGATGGCGCGCGTTCCATTTCCAGGCAAGAGTACATATAGTTTTGTTTTCAATTGTCTCAAGCTAGGGGGAGAGCCCAACGTGGCCAATTTAAAGACTAAAGAAGAAGGAGAAGACGACGACGACGACGACGACGAAGAAGAAGAAGAAGAAGACACAGAAAAATGAAAAAGGAAGAAGATCTGATCAGGAGGACAGTAACAATGACGGCCAGCACGATGATAACAACAGGCTCCGCATGGCCTTCGCATCGCAAGGAGCGCGGTCTGCTGCTGCGGCAGTTCCTGCGTGCCATGGAGGTGTGCCCTGAGGTGCCGGCGGAAAAGGCCGCGGCGCGGCGTTGGAAGACCTGACGCGCGGTGGAAACAGCGACGCGACCTGGAAATTGCTGGAATCTGACTGGAAATATCTGGTAGAATTCCATAGAATTCCAGCTAAGGGCTGGAAACGAACTTTGAAGTGCTTAGTTTCAGATTTCGTCTTTTTCTGTCATGTTGAAACACTTTTGTTCGTGCTTGGAATCGGGCCCGAACAGTTGGAATGAGAATGAGGATAAGCTGCGACTAGGTGAGAAAAACTAGTTATTGTAGCTGTTTTTGCGAGACAAACAGCGTTGTGTTACCACAATTTGAATGGGCGAAAACCCCTCAATGGACTAAGAACTGGAGAAAAAACTTATTTCCCGGAGCCATATCTTGGAGTTCAGGTCCTTCAATTTCCAGTGAGCAAACTGGCTGGAATCTTCAATCGAAAAGTTTTATGGCCATGTACAGCTCTGGCTGCGATGTGCCGTGATTTTTTTCATGCCTGGCATCGGGAGATCAGGCAGTGATGATTTCTGCCACCCCCCCCCGCAGTTTTGGGCAGAAGATCAGTGGCATTTTTCAGGGCCTTCCAATGGGACCCCCTACAAACCATGCAGGGGAATGGGGATCCCATCCCTGAAAACTTGCGGAACGGAGCCTGGAAATAGACTTGTACAGTGTGCAGATGGTCTTTGAGCCTCCCAAAAGCCGCGCATCGGATGGGGATTTGGGCTGGGAGTCGCTGCTTGTTCTGCTTGTTCTGCTTGTTGTGCAACTTGATGGACCGTCCAAAGGTGGAACGGATGATAGCCGAACAGATCTCCAGACATCTCCAGAGAATTTCCAACACGAGAAATGCTGATCCCAGTACGTTCAGCAGCATTTTCTCCAGGGAATTGAGCCCACCAATCCCAAAGATTTAAAAATCACAAAACGCGCCCCCTGTGTTTGGATGTTAAATGACAATGATGTTGGAGTATGTTGGACACCCTTCGTTTCCGGAAGGGTTTTCCCTTGTTTTACCGGCCCTGTTGTTCACCTTGGCGTGAAAGCAGGTTGGGGCCTGATGAGAGGTGGATTGGGATCTGGTGAATCTGGATTCCAACCAGCAGCATACGAAGAAAACGGTAGACACCAGGGTCACCAGTGAGGTCGTGGATGCACCGGTGTAAACATCACGAAAAACACCTGGAATTATCTTGGAAGGCAAGTTTCCATCATTTTCCTGAAAGTATCTTTGAAGTTTCACGTAATGAATCGGGCATGAGAAGATCCAGGATCCCACCGACCGACTGGGATTCTCATGGCATGGCACCATTGGTGACTTCCACAAGAAAAGTGGCAGTGGACAATGTCATAATTTTCATAATTCTGGAAGAATTTTACATAATTTTCTGGCAGTGACAATTTTCATAATTCAATGTCATCAAAATTTCTAATCTGGAGGATTTTCACCCAGAACCACCGAACCACTAGTTACAGTACTACCTTACCGCGTTAACGGGTGCAGAGACCGGGGCTCACCAATCCAAACTTGACTTGCTGCGGTGTTTTGGCTGCAGTGTTCATGATTTCACCTCGGCACCAGCCATACCAGCCACGCCAGCCACGCAATCGCTGCAATCACCGCGCTTGCGCCAAAAAGCACATTTAAGTGACACCTAAACTGAAGGAAACCATTAATTACGGTGCGGTAGCAGCATCCATCGGCCCAAGATTCTGAAGAGCTTCCAAAACCCATCAAAAACCCATCAAAACCCATCAAAACCCACCAAAACCCATCAAAACATCTCAAAACCCAGCTCCAAAACCTGATTTTTCCCCCAGTTTTTTCCCCTTGACATCTCTCCACCAAGCCGCCCTTCCAAAGGGCCGAAGCGGCGACCGGGCCGACGCGCCGACGCCATGCCCGCGTGGCCGTCTCTGTGGCGCGTCGGAAGCGACCAGATCCTTGGAGAATTTGGAGGGTGAGGGACTACTACCCGGCCTGTTAAACCAACAGTTTGCGAACTGGAAAATGGCCCAGTCGAAATAGTTGATTTACCCAATAGCATGGTGATTTTCCATAGTCATGTTAGTTTACCAGAGGGTACCTACCATGTTAACCTAACTTTTTTATAGGTAAATATAAGGGTAAATATTAGGTAAATGGCTACTATCAATGGGCCATGGCTTCCAGAACAACTTGTTAAATTGCCAGAACCGGATGTGAACTTTAAGATATGATAAGATATGTCGACTCCTTGGAATTGTCAACTGCAAGTGGATGCAGGTGGCATAGTGGTGCTTTTATCCTATGAATTCTTTGAAGGGACAATCGGACAACCTGCAGGAGCCTCACAAATTGGAGGTAAGAACTGTAAGAACCATGGTTTCCGGTTTTGGTGTCCCTGAACCCACCCCAATGTGCCAATGATGCTGTGATCAAACACATAGAAGACCTGACCTAAATCCTCTGGCCTTCCGACTGAGGAAGCTGGGAAGCAAGGTGGATGGTGATGGGGCCAATGGGTGGGTGCTGCATTGAATGACAAATGCCAATTGACCCTTGGTTATAGTCATTGGTAATTTTAGTTTGGCCAAACCAATGCCGACAAAAGGCTTGTTGGTGTTGGACATTGCTGGCAGGAGGAATGCAGTTGGGGACGCTCCATTACGACTTAACTTACTTGAGCAGGTGCTAGACATTCATGGATATTGATGGATATGAATCTTGGATATTCATAATGGGTATTGATCATGTATAGCAACAGTGGTGGTTATCAATAATGACGGATTTATATTATAGTAATATTGTTTATGAACAAAGATCTTAACATTAGTTATGATTTCAATTATGATTAACATTAGTTATCAACAACACAAATTAGTTATCATAGCAAATAAGTTAACATTAGTTATCTTCAACTAGTTATCAACTAGTTAGGACTCCTTGAAATTTATCTGAACAGAACCTGATTTTTGCTGACCGCGCCAGACCGCGGAGTTGCTCAAGTTTGGGAGCAAAGAGTTCCTCGGGAGACCTGCACTGAAGAGGTTTCATAAAATGGGGGTACCCCTGCCTCTAAACTAACATAACTATGGAACATAACAATTTTTAATGGGAAAACTCACTATTTCTATGGCCATTTTCAATATCTATGTTAGTCATTAGCAGAGGGTATCTCTAAATCATCAATTTTTGATTGGGATGTTCCATAAACCCTCCAGCTAATGATAATCATAATGGTAAATGATAAGTAATGTTCAATTTTTGATTGGTAAATGTGCCATTTTTAAGGGATATTGAAAAACCACCCTTTACTGGCCATTGAGCCATTGATAGACCTCATGGTTGGGTGATGTTCAATGGGACATATTGGGACGTTTAATGACCCATGTTGATTGGGATGTTCCATAAACCATCCAGCTATTGGGGCACCCCATTTCAGGGAACCTCCACATGAAGGAGAGGGAGATGTCGGAGATGTTGTTCTTTTCCAGTCTTGTGATCTTTGCATTGGGGTGTAATTCTCATGGGTGCGGGGATAAGAAAAGGGCCAAAAAGCCAGCAGCTGCAAAACGCGGCTGGCTTCAACCGGGTTCAACCAATCCTACCATAGAACTCCTATGACTCTGTGTTCCACAGCCACTTCGGAATGATCAGCAATGCGTATCTGATCTTCAAACAATCACAGCAGTGATTCAACCCCACTTACGAGACCATGTAAAAAGGACCTCCCAATTCGCCTTTCGTCTTGACGATGGTTTCCTGCACCCTCCGGTAATCAAACATGGTTTGCCGGAAATTTCCCCATTTAGTTCAATGATTTTCCCAGCAACTTCGGCCTAGCTCGGGGATTTCAATCGCTTCATTTGGATCATCACTGTGAAACCTTAGCAACCATCTATACGGCTACAGCGTGCTACAGCTCCATTACCCTCTGGCAAACATACAAAAAACTATGGAAAATCACCATGCTATTAAGGGGTAAATCAACTATTTATATGGCAATTTTCAATAGCTATGTTACTTTACCAGAGGGTAATTTTTGTCAGTTGAAAAAGCCTGCCTGAGACGATGATTGTAATGGAATCGACGTTTTTTTTTCCAGATGGGTGGCTTAACCACCAATCAGCTATTGATAGATTTTCAATGGCAAAATTGCATGAAGTTACTAAACATGTTACCATATTTCATTCCCAATTTACCCAAATATCAAAAGCTTGGTTCGCTTTATCACGGCGAACAAACCAGGTTATATCGCATTCATCTGGGTAAATTATAACGACCTCACTGTTCTCCCTCACTGGAATCATGGTTAATAAGGGAAATCATCCCCAAGATAGCCTTAATTCAGGTTAGTGAAATATGATTTCATTTACCCAGATTCAGAAGTCCCATGTCCTAAATCCAAGCGCCGCCATGCGCCATGCGCCGCCCAAGGTGTATCTCGGATGCCGACTCGAGCCCCTTGAGTCCGCAAGGTCAATTCCTGCGATCGTGCCTCGGCTGGGAATGCGGGAGAACTGGAAGTTGCTGGCGATTGGAGAACTGGAGAAGAATAAACCACTACAATTATTGATTTATGGATATTTTGGATCTGTGTTGTTTCTTAAAAAATGCATATTTATGTGGGTATGAAAGGTTTGGGGGTTAAACTAGCAAGACTGACATGGGAATTTAAACTGGAATTATCTGATTTTATTATGATTTATTGGAGGTTACTATCCAAGATGTTGGGGGGTAACTGTGAATTTTACGTGGGATATAGTTGATAGATGCTGATAGAACTATGGGTAAACCTTGGCAAGGGGAATATAGCATGATACTTTACAGGAGTGATTCTCGTGATAGTTTCAGTATCATATTTCCTAGCCATTTTTGAAGGAAACGATTATATCCCAGTAGAAATTTATGAGCCAGTCATGTATATATTGCGAACCAGAGGGGAAGTGACCCAAGAAAATTGGGCAGGTTCGAAGTAACACCAAGCAAGAACTTGGTCCGGTTCTTTCATATCGTGTTACCCTCTGGTAATTTAGAACATGGTCATGGACAGTAATTT